ACTTGACTATTTCCCCAAAGTTTTAAAAATTCAACTTCTTACATGTCCTCCATCACTTTCTCATTTGTTAACATCTTGATATCCAATGAAGAACTTTAAGTTCATGGATCATCTACATACATTCTCTGTAGTCTCATCCTCCGTACATACGTCATATTAGCTCGACCGAAAATGTCGCAGAAGTTAACGTATACGCATTTGAAATACAGAATGAACTGAAGCCTATCTTCAGAGCCTTTTAAGTCACAAACTTGAATTTCCATTATGCAAACTGTCTCGGAGCTTCGGCAAGTGCATCCTGCTACGCACACCCCTTCGCTACGGTGCATAACGGCTAGAATCGGAAACTCACCCTTCTCAGGAACGCCCCACTAAGGCAGCACGTGGAGTGCGGAGCCCACAAGAGCGACTTGTAACAGGCGCGAGGGCAGGGCTGCTTCGGCCGGGGGGAGCTCAAGCTGCCACTGGGCGAGAGGAGATCGACGCAGCAGCTATATACGTCGGCCACGCCCGCCCCCGACCCCCGCGCCTGCACTCTTACGCCTAAACGCGTGCTCCGAACCGCCGCATAAGGAATCCACCACGATCCCCGCCCCCTTGTGCGCGCTCGTCATACCTCCGCCAATCTCGTCATCCATCTCACCCCACGCGCCCCGCCACGCCAAAACCGTATTTGCGATTTACGCGCCACCAAATTCTAGATCCCACTCCTTCCTTCTCGATTTTAATCCCCTCGACTTCAGCCCAAAGGCATCTCCCGCCACCCTCGACTACACAGTCCTTGCGCTCGCACCACAAAGGATCCTTCCGCACCCTCGACTTACCCGCCAAAGGATTCCTCCCGCCACCCTCGACTTCCCGCCAAAGGCTCTCGACCGACTTCCTCGCCAACATCCCGCCGCACCTCGACTTCCGCCAAAGAATCTCCCGCACCTCGACTCCCCCATAAGCGACCCTCCGCACCCCTACGACTTCCCGCCAAAGGAATCCGACTCCCGCACCCTCTGACTTCCCTGCCAAAAGATCTCCCGCACCTCGACTTCCGCACATAGCGATCCTACCACCCTCGACTGCGCAAGCATCTCCTGCACCGTACTTCCCGCCCAAAGGATCCTCCCGCACCCCGACTTCCGCCATAAGGATCCATCCCGCACCCTCGACTGTCCCGCCAAAGGATCCTCCGCCACCCTCGACTTCGCCCCAAAGGATCCTTAACCCGGCACCCTCGACTACCTGCCACAAAGGATCCTCCCGCACCCTCGACTTACCCACCAAAGCGATCCTCCCGCCACCCGTCGACTCTCCCCGCCTAAAGGAATCCTCGCCCGGCACCCTCGACTTCCCGCCAAAGGATCTCCCGCCACCCTCGACTTCCACCGCCAAAGGATCCTCCCGCACCCTATCGACTTCCGCCAAAAGGCATCCCTCCCGCACCTCGCACTTCCCGCCAAAGGATCTCTCCGCCACCCTCGACTTCCCGCCAAAGGCCATCCTCCCCGCCACCTCGAACTTCCGCCAAAGGCCATCCTACCGCACCCTCGACTTCCCCGCCAAAGCGATCCTCCCGCACCCCTCGACTTCCGCCAAATGGCATCCTACCCGCACCCTCGAACTTCCGCCAATAGCGCACCCCCCCTGCCCCCCCCACCCCCCCACCCCCCCCCCCCCCCCTTCCCCGCACCCTCGAGCTTCCGCCAAAAGATCCGTTCCCCTTCCCCCTATCCCGCACCCTCGCACTTCCCGCTCCAAAGCGATCCTACCCGCACCCTCGACTTCCCGCCAAAGGATCCTCCCGCACCCTCGACTTCCACGCCAAAGATCCTCCTGCACCCTCGACTTCCCGCCAAAGATCCTCCCGCCACGCCTCGACTTCCGCGCAATAGATCCTCCCGCAACCCTCGACTTCCCGCCAAAGGATCCTCCCGCACCCTCGACTTCCCGCCAAAGAATCCTCCCGCCACCTCCGACTTCCCGCCACAGGATCTCCCGCACCCTCGACCTCCCACCTAAGGTCCTCTCGATTTTATCCACCGTCGACTTCCCGCCAAAAGGATCCTCCCGCACCCTCGACTTCCCGCCAACAGGATCCTCCCGCACCTCGACTTCCCGCCAAAGGATCCTCCCGCCACCCTCACTTCCCGCCAAAGGATCCTCCCGCACCCTCGACTCTCCGCCAAAGGATCCTCCCGCACCCTCGACTTCCCGCCAAAGGATCCTCCCGCACCCTCGACTTCCCGCCAAAGATCCTCCCGCACCCTCGACTTCCGCCAAAAGGACCTCCCGCACCCTCGACTTCCCGCCAAAGATCCTCCCGCACCCCTCGACTTCCCGCCAAAGGATCTCCCCGCACCCTCGACTTCCCGCCAAAGATCCTCCGCACCCTCGACTTCCCGCCAAAGGATCCTCCCGCACCCTCGACTTCCCGCCAAAGGATCCTCCCGCACCCTCGACTTCCCGCCAAAGGATCCTCCCGCACCCTCGACTTCCCGCCAAAGGACTCCGTCCCGCACCTCGACTTCCGCCAAAGGCACCTCCCGCACCCTCGACTTCCCCAAAGATCCTCCCGCACCCTCGACTTCCGCCAAAGGATCTCCCGCACCTCGAACTTCCCGCCAAAGGATCCTCCGCCTAATTCGCTAAATGACAAAAAAGAATAAGGGTATGAATTCCGCACACCGACAATTTTTTATAGGATAAAACTATTTTAAATTTTTCCCTTCCCGCGTGACGACACCCCCTCATCTCCACCACCGCCCACGCCTTCAAACCCTCCCTCCCCAAGCAGAAGAGGCCACCTCCGCCCTGCGGCTTCTTTGTCGACGCATCACGCCCACGCGCCTCTTGCCCCTCCCTCCCATGCGGCCCCAAAGTCGCCCTTGTCTCCTCCGCGCCGTCTTTTATCTTCCACGCCTCCGCCGCTCCACGTGCGTCGCTCGACAGCACGCAGGAATTCCCCATCGCCCTGCGCAGGCGTACGCTTTCAGCGCCATTTCGCCATCGTCATTCTCCCACGGACTCTCGTCTTTGTCTTCTTAACTCGTCATATTCACCTTTCTCCGGTTTCAAGAGTGACATCATCGATAAAAAAAGAAACCGTAAAGTTGTGATGTAACCTGCGTCTCAAAATACATTATTTCCGCTCCTTACTCTCACAAGGCTTTCCTATTCAGAGTTTTCTCTCGAGTTTTCTTTGCACTGTGGAGCCAGCTTGTGATACGTAGACATATGCTCGTCGACTGAACACACCTTGATTCTTCGTATATGTAAACTAATGAAAACGTGATTGCGTATCTGAGGGATCAGTATTGATAGAATAATCAGCGCGAGAACCATGTACCACTAAAATCGATTTTACTTGTACCCTACACCATTTCGCTGTCCATGAGCGATGCCATTTTCAGCTCTTGTTACACCAGTTTTTTCATCTTCCTGCGAAAAAATCGCAGAAGGACCCTGCGAACATCATTTAGGATCTTTACATAATTGATCATAGATACCTGTATCGTGTTTCAAACTATGAATGTAGCTCGAGGTAGTTGTCGGATCGCGCTGACTCTAGATGAAAAAGAAAACTTTTTTATAAAGGTATATTCGCAAATACAAGACTCCTCCCGCGTTCCATACAAAGCAAAGTTCGGTCTGAACGTTCCCTTCCGACGTGATCGGCCCAGCTCTTCACCGCTCCGATCCCGAAGGAAGCACCCACGCGCCGCCCGCCGCCCCGCCGCCCGGCGCAGGCTTCCGAAACCTCCGCTGAGCCCCGCCGCCCGCCCCGCCCCGCACCGTGCGCCAGCGTGTCCTGCGTGTTGCGGCGGGATACAGCTATCGCGCAGGGCCTTATCGCCGGGCACGCCGCGGTCCTCGCGCGCCAGAGCCGACAACGACCCGGTTCCGCACACGCGCGGAAACCGCGTTATCACAGGCGCCAGGTGGCCCGCCACCTTCGCTTGCGCTGCGCGCGGTCGGCCTTCGCCTCGCATCGACGCCCTTCGCCCCCCCTAGCGCCAAGCGCGTGCCGCGACAGTCGCCCACCCCCCGCCTGCGCCAGCCGGTTCCTGCCGCGAACCCACCGGCCGCCGCCGCGCCGTGCCCGCGACACCCTTCCTCGCCTCTCATTCATCATCTCCACGCACCCAGGACAGACGACCAGCGCCGCGCGCTGTTTCTTATTTTATACACATGCCGCCGGCCGAAATAGCACGACGCGGACGGTGCGGAGACGCTGTGGCGCCGGGGTCGGGCGGGGCCAGTGACCCCGTGCGGGCCACGAGCCCCGGACGTGCGGCGCGCGTGTATCGAGCCGCCGGCGCCACTTGGTCGCCGCCGCGGCCGCATCATCCCGAGCGCCCAACACAGTGTGCGCGGCGCGACGGCGGCGCCGCGCGATGGAGCCCCCGTCGCCAGCCCCCGCACTCGGGCGCCGCACATACTGCGCGAAATTTGCCACCCCCGCGCGCGCGTCGCACGCCGCTGATTCACCGTGTCACGCGTCGCGCACGCCGCGAGACGCCTCGCCGCGTCTTAGCGCCGCACTTACCTCTAATCCCGCAGGCTGCGATTAATCCCTGACGGCGCGAAGGCGGCTGCTGCTCGCGACCAAGGCGGCGGACGGGGAGCGGCGGGGTAGAGCTGCGCGGGCACACGACCTAGCTGCGCGGGGAACAGCCTGCCGCTCGCGACGCGAGAGCGCGCGCGCCACGAATGATTGGTAGCGCGCTCGAGTGGAGATGCGTGGAAGCTTTAATTTTTTTCTCGGCGATTGTAGAGGCACCTAGCGACGAATTGCTGGAACATTTTACGTATAAATGGTCATGTTACCCAACTTCAGCTCAACAAACACACGTAAAACAGACGAACTCTTGATATTTTTAATGAATTCAACTTAAGACATCACAATTTAATTAACTCTATTCTTTATTGTTTGGTTATATTTTACTGTGACATGAAACAAAACTCACTTTGCATACAAGTACTTGGTTGCTGTATGTTGCCTAACTTGCATAATGTGACTCACGATAGCTTTTTGTCACATGAGTAACGTCGAATTGGTCTTACACGTCTTGAAACATAACCTCAAGTTCACTTCTGTTGACAGCTGAGCATTTAACGAAACGGGTGATCATGCAGGACTTAGGTAAGCATGATAAATACCACTTTCCATAATGCTGTCACGATTTGTTTTTCCGTTAATGGATTTTAGCGTTTTACGATTTATGGTGTCTTATATTGGTCTTATATGGTCGTGAACAAATCTCAAATATACCTTTTAATTAATCCAAAAAACATCGATGTTACAATAACGAGTATATGTTAAATGTCCAATTTATAGTTATTTGTACATTAAATTATTTGTCGAATTAACCGTGTAGGTTTCTTTAAATATAGTACTTCAGTAAAGCTGATAATTGTTCCTCTTGCTCGTTTCAAATAATTGAAACATAACGCTTTATTTGTTTATTTTGACTTTTATAATACATTTTGTGATAATGAATGTAAACTGTATTTTGGATATAAATTGTAAGTGATAGTTCCCCCCTCCCTCTGAGAAACTTGCAAAAACTAAACAATTATTTCCCCTCATCTGGCATGTTATTGTAACCATTATTTAAGCTGGAGATGTTTTGATGGAGGTGTTGTTTCTGTGAGCATATAAGCAAATAATGTGAAATCTGAAAATTGCTAAATTTTCATCGGTTACTAATACAACACACATGAAATGGTCATGTGATGTTAATTAGATGGGTACAAAAATACTATGTAGATACTAAGATAAATACATTTTTTTTTTAAAAAACGAAAATATTAATCATCAATTTTCAACAAGACATATGAAAATATATTCTTAGCATGTATATTGTAATTTATTTAAATAAAATATTAATTTTGAACAATACTCTGTGAAAAAAATACATTCAGTAATTTCCAGGAGGTTAATGCTTTCACCATTGTTAAAATCTTAACTTACATATAGTTATACATTACATTATATGTGTGGCTTGTTGCAAGAAATACCAGCATGCGTTTTTAGTTATTTTCGGTTTGTATGGTAGTGTGTGCTTTAAAGTCCCTTCTTTCAGTTTAAGAAAGGCGCAAGTCAAAACTCGATCCTATCTCCGAATTTCACTCTATCTTTACATTGGCCTATGATTGTTTTGTCATTTCAATGATGTAAGAAGGGCCAATGTTGCCTTAGCAAATTAAACCTATGTAATCCCACTGAATCTTTCTGGAATAATTTTGTTTTTCGTATATCGTGTGGAGCGTTCCCAATACCCTCGGCACATCCCTGAATAATAACTTCCATTCACTTATACTACGCCACAGGGGTAAAAGTATTGGAATCACTTCAACAATATGATCTCGAATACCGGTAGTAAAATCCTCGTTTAAGTTCACTTTCAGCTGCAACTTCGCTCACGCATCGTTATTAGGCTCTGTTATTGCTCTTTCAAAGAAGGTTATGATTGCTTGGGAGGAAGGGAGCCGTGCAATTTTGCTTCCGAAACTCGATCTGTGTAAATGGATGGATCAAGCATGTGTCAAGTTTGGTTGACGTTTCTGAGCATGTCAACTGCTACGGTCATTCGTCCTGCAGCGAATGTTGTAACCCGGGAGGTACCGGTGTTCTTCCTCTACTGGAATCGGCTACGAAGGCAGCGCTAGCGCCCGGTTGCCTGCGTGGTTTCTAATCTACAATTTGTTACTTTCATCCAGTCAAAAGAGCTATTGTGCTCAATGACTAGGCAAAGTAATATTTTAAGAGAATCGCTGACAATTCGGTCAGGTATTGCGAACGTAAGTATACGTTCGAAATGGCTAGATAAAGTTATAAATTCAGCTCCGTTAATAACTTCGACCAGTGCCGATTATTGTACATAACGGCTAGATATTATTCATAATGGCTGGATTAATTGAAATCCATTAAAAAAAACAAATAAAACCAAAAAACATAAATATGGGACACACAACTAGATGCGTTTGACTCGCAAGACTGCCTCAACCAGTATTATGTATTTTATGAGAAGTTTATGAGTATTTTATGAGTAGCCGTACTTTATGTGACGTACTTTATGAACCGTACTTTATGAGCTCTCAACCTTTTGAGTGGGAGGCTTTGCCCTACAATATGATGTAAGGCTGCAGAAGTAGTAGCAGCAGCAGTAATACTATAATAGTAGTAATGATAATAGTTATAATAATTTAAAATTCACACGGGAAATGACACATACAAATTAAGTAAGTACTACATAATTAAGTGAGTAATACGTATGACTCATGTAATTTAATTAATATAATTTATAATCTAGCATTAAACACGACGTATGCTATTCCTCTCCTGTCTCTTTAACAGTGGGAAATACCACCCGTGATGCATGCTAAAGAATATTGCCATTTATTGTGATACTATTGATGAGTAGGTAAAACGAACATTATCAGTTATTAATGCGACCTGGACCGACTCTTCGTTTTGATTAGGTTCGAATCTGGACCTGAGCATGGTCGTTTACCATTTGTATTACGTGCATGTGTTGCCATGGAGAGTTCAGCAGGCTCCAGATCAAAGAAGTCAAAAGCAGTTACAAACTACCTGTGATCTACTATGAGGAGTGGGTCAATATGTGCTTTTTTTTTCTTAAACTCTGAAGACGCTTTAGTAACTCTTCATATATTTAATTTGAATTATAAATACAGGTACCAACGAGCGTTTTGGCAAGAATTGATCAGACAATATTCGCCCTTGTGTAATAAAAATTATTCGCGAAAGCCAATCGCCTACAGACTGTCGCTATTTCTTGGAAAATGTGTTCCTATCCCTAGAAAAACGTGTTCCAAAAGGGGTGTAGTGTAGTGTGAGATTCGAGGAACCCATAAGTCTTAGAATGTGGTACTGATACCATCCCTTGGAAGGTTGAAGTTTCACCGATTTCGGAAAATGCAAAGAAAGAAAACTAATGTATTTTTATATAAAAGAAGTCATATTTTTATAACAATTAACTTTATATTTGTTATATATAATAACTTTATAAAAACATAATATAATGTTTATCTAAAACAAACTATTCGTATTATTATTCCATGGGAAGGTCTCAACAAGCGTCCAAATTGAGAATGTCGCGAACAAAACAGACACGGGATCTCCCTGGTTCGACATAGTTTGGGGCCAAAGCTTGGGAAGGCAATTCAATCTGTTAAATAGAAATAGAAGATGTTTTAAGTTGGTCACGAATTTGTATTATTATTATTATTATTATTATTATTATTATTATTATTATTATTATTATTATTATTATTATTATTATTACTATTATTACTATTATTACTATTATTATTACATGTATTCTCAAGAAAAATGCCAGGCCACTACCATCACAATTAGCCAGATAATTATCATTCAGAGACCCACTTCATTCAGTCAACGCAATTTCAACGCTCCACATTTCGAAAACCAGTGGTAGACGGTAGAAAGCGCGGTAGACCGACATTTTTCTTCTCTTAGTGTTATTTTATTACTCAACAATACTTAAATGTTTTAAAAGCGTGCATGACATTTAAAGATCAACTATTGAATGGGTTTATACAGAAAACATCCAAGCAACAAGAATCTATACAAGAGTTGAAAACAGGCTTTACAAATTAAGACATACCTTCAAAATTCTTTTAAAAAAAGTAAAGAAAGTTCTATGGCTGCAGCAACTATTGTTCTTACGCTTTTGGGTCAATAACCCTCCCCCGCTCTTCTAGCAAGTTCTTTGTAAAGTTTAGGGATACTGGCAATCTTTTATACGAGAAGCAAAGGCCGAAAGTGCTTTTTGGAAAATTCAGCGTTAACAATGGAAATCGGACACACACCTTTATAAGATTAGTGTATTTCAGTCTGTTCTTACAACAATTTTAAAGAAAAAAAATTGAGTAATTTTTTACAAAATTTTGAAAAAGACTCAGGAACTTCGAATGAAGTATCTCCGGAATTTATATAATTATTTTCAAAATCACAGGCTTTAAGATCGATTGAGGAATATTCATTTTGGCAAAAATCTTACGAATAGTTTTGGCTCTAGCGTTTTTCCAAGCGGACGGACGTTTAATAAAAAGCTTTTTTTGGTATTAAGGGACCACAGAATGTGAATTGTAACTACGGTATGTATTTGAGGAAGTAACTTTCTACTTACAGGAGCAAGAAAAATCCTCTTTCGCGGCCAGAGAGCCACAAATGTAGTCTTTCTGTCGAAGAAGGGCACGTTTAGTCGCATCATTATTATGACTTTATTCTACGTATACTAATGCGTTGTAGTTCTCCGTAGGTGTAAAGAAAGTAAAAGACAGAGTTGAGAGAAGCAGCAGTCTGTGATAACGATATCCATACAGTGGTGTTTGATTTTTGTTCTAGGACGTACGACTGTAGAAAGAAATTTTAAAGGAAAAATTCCAAGTGAAAGTGATGTTAATTAAATGGAACATAAACATTTTACAAGTTCACCTACATAACACGATACGTACAAATGTTATTACCAACTTGATGTAATGTAATAATTAATACGAGTTAGAAGAATTGGAAGCTATTTTGTTTTTCAAATGTTCAATGAGCGTTACAAATCTGTTAGTTCTGTTCATCGAAATAATTAATGTTTAATTAACATAAACGATGTTAGTAAAACATGGGAATTAGTTTTTAATATCCAATTTTAACTAGATAAAAAATTAAGCTCAGGTTAAAATCATTATTTAATGGATGATTTCAATCTTGTAATTAATATAATTGCCAGACTAGTAAATAAAATTCTGTAATTATATGATGGCCAAAATATACATTCGAATAATGGTTTTCCCGCGGATGAGTATTAAACTGCGTTACTGGTTAATAAAGATATTGGGAGTGACATTGTATTGTGACGTACATTTATTTTGCAATACTGATGAAACAACTATGAATTCCGTGGTGGTGGCAGATATCTTCTGGTTGATATGATTGATTGACAACTATGATAGATAGATAGATAGATTGATTGGTGCTTCCGGTCACGTCAACTGCTAAGGTCATTAATCCTATAAGTATTGTAAATGGCTTTTGCTCGGGAGGTGGCGGTGTGATCCGGCACTAACCTACCGTTGTCTAGCGGATTTTCCTCTAGCACGTATCTCCCGCCTGTGGGGCACCGCCCCAGCCGGGCCACCCCAGCCGGGCCACCCCAGCCGGGCTAAGTTCCTGACCGGTTCCTCCCGGTATGTGCGGTAATGTAGCGCCTGTATGTTCGTAAGTAAGGGGTGAAGACAGGAGAAGGAAATACTGTGCGCGGTCCGGTTTCCATTTGTTAGGGCTCTGCTCCGGCATTCGTCTGGAATTGACCGGAGAAACCGTGGAAAACCACCGATCGCAGCAACCGGCCGCTGGAATTCTCCTCCAGACAGCGTTTGAATTCCACCTAGCTAGTGTCGAAAATGCTGCCAGCGTCGGGACCGAAACCTAGTACTAACCTCCCGATTAGAGGTACCGCGGTGACACGAGTTGATGCCGTGAGCCACATTTCCCGGTGGCGCGATAACTAGCTGGGGTTGCATCATAGGCGGAAGAATAAAGAACTGAAGCTGTGGCTTAGCCTTGCCGAGCCCCATCCGAGCAGATCCGGGTCCCCGGCGATGTTCAAACAGGACGTGCGCCTCGCGAGCGCGAGCGTCGAACCGCCCGGCCGCGGATGAATCCGACGCCGCCGACACCGCTCCGACGAAGGCGCGCGTGATAAGGCCTCGTCGCGTTTCGCACCGCGCGCGAGTCATCCGCGTGATCGAGACGTGCCGGCGGCCATGAACCGCTCCGTCGCACCTTCGTGTGGATTTGGGGGCGTGTCAACAAAGATAGAGGGCGTTATCCGCGATTGCGCGGTGCCGAGTTTCTCGCGGCCGAGACGTCCACGTTGTCTGTATGTTTTTACTACTAATTAAAAAAATATATTGGAGAGATGAAATTACCAGTTATGTCCTCACAGAAAATACCCTGCATAAACATTCCCTAGTATATTTTATTTTAGTCTAAATAGTACTAAATTTCGACTGTCGCTGGAATCGACGTCTCGATAACCGAAATATCAGGGAGTTTGTGCACGCCATAGCGTCAGCACTATCGATCTTCTGCGCATGCGCAGATGCACTAAAATCGTGCGAAACGTGAGCTGTGCATGGGCAAAATATCGATAGTGCTTTAACGTTCGAGGTGGCACAAACTCCCTATCTATTAAAATACAAAAATATTATAATTGGCAAAACCTTTTTGATCGATCAGATAGTAAAACAACTTTGTGTCGTAGCTTTGTGTCGACACTCAAAATTTAAAGTGTCAATTATTTCCTCATTAAATTATTTTCGGTGAACACCGCTATGCTGCAACACACCTTTGAAAATCCCTGAGTTAGGCATCTCGTCATCAACCGAGAAGTTTGGGAACCACTTACTTAATCGTTCTTGCCCACTACTCGTATCGAAAAAAAAATGCCATAATATTTGCAATAATGCGTTTTATAGGTGGAGGAGTAGTAATAATTCTCCTAAAATGTAGTATTTCAGTGACAAAACCGAAGCCATTAATATATTAGATCACATTGCAATTACTGTTGCGAAAGCGAGGGTAACGAAGAGTGCTCTAACAGGGTATCGAACCTGTGATCCAGAAACGTGCCTGTAGAGCGCCCGCCCACGCCTCATAATTCTGCAGAAGTAGGACGCGTCGAACCAGCTGCGCGGCCTTTCAACGGCGGGGTGACATTACGCGGGCGCAGCCAAGGAGAATAGCGCGCAGGCCCCGCGCGTGGCAGGGGCTAGCGCGGCAGGGCCGACCGCGCGTTGCAAACGGTTGATTCTTCGCATCTGTTCGCTCACTCTGGCGGACCGTCGAACTCGCGGAGGCGATATTGAGACGCACACGCGCACGCACACGCACGTACACGCACACACACACACACTCACTCACTCACACACTCACTCACACACTCACTCACACACTCACTCACACACTCACTCACACACTCACTCACTCACACACTCGCTCACTCACTCACACACTCGCTCACTCACTCACACACTCGCTCACTCACTCGCTCACTCGCTCACTCACTCGCTCACTCGCTCACTCACTCGCTCACTCGCTCACTCACTCGCTCACTCACTCACAAAGTCACTTCGATGAAGCTACTTTGTATCACACGCAATGAGTCCAAATGCTGAAAGTACGAGTAGTGGAAGAAAGATGGAGTTTATACCAGCAAATTAATCACGAACTTATTTTCAAACTTTTATTTATTTAATTGTTCGACCAGATATTTTTAGTCACTCTTCGCATTGTGACCGAAAATTGGTCTCAATGCTGCCAGAAATACGAGTGTTATCTCCTTCAATGCGTTCGATATTGTCTAATCGATTTATTTTACAACTAAAGGAATTGCCGATTACTTTCTTATTATTAATGCATTATTGCCTCCCCCTTTTCAGATATTGTAAGGTAATCTAAATTATAAATATTGAGATTTGAAAGGATATGATTCTTTGGAATCGGCGTTTGTCCGGAAGATGTCACAATAAATTAAATATATCACATTTAGACGTATTATCTTCATTACAACTTTGTTTAAATGCTCTTGTAACTAAGTCAGGCATTATTCAACGATTTGGTTATTTCTACTGCTCACGAGAGGGCACACTGCGTTCGGAAATGCGCAATTAATTTAACTCTGCGTGCAGGTAATCCTTGTCTCAAACGTAGTTCTGAGATGTCAGAACTTCTGAGGCGTGATCAAAATGCATTTCAGGGATTAAAGACGAACGACAAAGAAATAGAATAAATAAGTCGTCATATTTGAAATTTTGTGAATAACTTGCTCACGAACTGGGAGGGTGGTAGTAAGTAGAAAAAAACACATTTGTGGTTTGAAAAGTTCACTTTTCTCTGGAATATTGCTAGTTCTTCTGAGTGCAATCTGTATTTCGTACGCAGTAATCTGGCAACTGATTGGCTTTACAATTTTCCTACGCACAATGCAAAGGCAACCAGCAATGCAACCGTTTTCCTCCTTTTAAGAAAATCGTATTTCCATTGCCTCGACTTCCATTCCGTTGATATAAATCAATTGTCTATTGTTCCACTGAAGAAAGTTCATAATTTGATTATATGAATGCAATATTTGATCAGAAAAGTAGATCATTTTCAGCATTCTCCTAATAGGAAATGAATTTTATGTATTAAGAATTTTTCGTAATTTCCTGTAAGGTATGTATTTGAAGAAAATAATAATAATCTCCTATAAAATTAATGACTTTGGAATTATTTCATGATTCCCAAACAAGTATGATATTCGACTGATTGATGATGATGATGGTTAATGAAACAAAATGGCATCATCCCGGTCGATTACGTGATGTGCAGGTTCATTGTATACTCGTTAGTAGTTGTCACGGTATCCTTGCCTATCGTTCCACTTTTGTGGCATAATCAATATTTACTATTTATATACTTAATTCAATTTCTAAACAATCACTCCTGCAGTAATGAATCGGTCAGGAGAAAAATGTCGCCATCCGTCTAGGTCCGACTCTTCCTTTTGAGAAACTATTCCGAATTTTAAAGAACGCTGGCACGCGACGAGTAGCTTTTGAAAACTCAGACGCGTTATCGGTCATGCACGTGTTCACCAAAATTCCAGAATCGTTCGTGGATTGTTTTATTATTTCGTGTTTCCGTGCGCGTCAACTGTTCTGGTTATCTGTTCCGTGAGTGAAGTACATTGGCAGGTGGCGTTCCTCCCGCACTAGAACGGAGATCCGGCCCCTACCTACACGGCTTGCGAGGCTTGCACCAGATGCCTCAGACAGCGGAGCACCGCCACCACCGCGACAAGAACCTGTAACAAGTATTGTACTTCATCTTCTGGGTCAATGACCCCCATCTCGGTCAGGTTTTCGTCCAGTTTCTCTGATCCTCGAGCAAATGCTGAGATGGCCCCTTGTTTTGCTTCCGGACATAAATGTAACTTCAAATTAACCTCTCCCCATAGCACGTCACACACAGTTTTTAATTGTTTTTGACGTAAATAAATAAATAAAGATCTAAGCTTTCCACTGGTTCTCCGAGTATAGGTAAGAAGTGTGTAAGTAAGAAGAGAGGAATCAGGCAGGAAAGAGGCTCGCAGTCCGTGGTCCGTGTGTTAGGATATTGCTTCGTTTGGTATTGGTACGAGGACAAATCACGGGAAGAAACGATCAAAGCAGTCGGCTGATAGAATTAACTTGGAGACAGCGCCTAAAATTCCCTGAATTCTAGTTAAGATAATCCTCTCGGCGGGCTTCAACCTCGTAATGCGTCCCGATCAGGGACAATAGTGGCATCAGTCATCAGCTGGACTCGGATTCTGATGACATGCCATCTTTTCATTGGTGTATTGTAGACAGTGCTAACTTGTAAATGAATCTTGACAAGTAGGTGTTAGAAATGTATAGTTATTGGGTTTTTTTTTTTTTTTTTTGCCATTTTGAATTTGTAGATCATTTTTGGGGGGCCTTGAGTCATTTTTATGCATTTAGTTTCCTTTTCTGTTTTTTTGTTAGTGAATGTTTCATGAATTTACAATGACACACTAAATCAAAGTTTTTATTGTATTATCAGTTCATGACTAAATTCACTACTGTAGTGGAGTTTGTTCTTCGAACTCTCAAAATTACGCGGATCTTCGGTAACTTCCTCGACCTGTCAAAACTGACGGTTGGAAGATCGGAGCTAAGAATTACACTTCCTCCTAAAATAAAGACTTTATGCCATTGAATATATATATATTCATCAAATAAACATTTTCATATAAATTTTTGAGTGTAATTTGTCTGATTTTTTTAATTTTCTCATTTTCAAGTCACTTTACGGTCATTTTGAAAGAATTTTTAGGTCATCAGACTCGGAGCCATGTGTTGGACCGCTGTGTAACCGCGCTCGTGTGTTGCAGCGCCGTCGCCGCAGGCGCTGGACGTGCTGGAGGCGCGCGTGGCGGCGGTGGAGGCGCGCGTGTTCGGGCCGCGGGGCCCGGCCGCCGCCGTGGCCGCGGGGGTGGTGCCCTCTGCCAAGGCCGCGGCGGCGGCGGGGGGCCCGGCCGGCCCGCTGGCGGTGACGGCTAGCCCGGCGGAGACGCGCCCCCTGCGGCTCGCCCAGGCCCGGCCGCCCCGCACGCGCCACTGGGACCGCCGCCGAGCGCTGGCGTCGGCGCACGCGCTGCTGCAGGGCGGCCACCTCGCGGCCGCGAGAAGTAAGTCAGCGCATGAAGCGCGCGGCGGCGTCGGAGGGTGCACTTGCTGCAAAACGGGGAAAACCGGAGGGGAAAAATCAGGGCATTTAATTGCTTTTGAAGTCAGGAAAAAAAAACAGGGAATTTGCGAAAGAATGGTTGAAAGGACCGACCTGGATGGCCGAGGTGGCTAAGAGCGTGGATCCACTAGCGCGCTTCGGTCCGAAGGGTCGCGGGTTCGAGGCCTTGAGCGATGTTGTTTGTCCCTTGTCTCTCATCTACGTCGCGGAGGGCCTCGCGATTCCGTGGTGATTCTCTCATTTGCTAATAAACTATTAAATTATAAATCTATATTAAAACCCATCTGGACCTATGGAATACAACTTTGGGATACCGCGGTCAACTCGAACCTAGAAATACTGCAGCGATTGCAATAAAAAAACTTCAAGATTGCTTGCCATTGATCTGTTTCAAATATAACATTGTACAGTGACATCCTTATACCCACAAAATACCAAAAACTCCAATCCCGTTGCCAAAAGTATTACAAACCAAAATAATTAGAAAATCACCCAAATTACTGAGCATTAAACTTACTAGACATTAGCCAAGTCTTAAGAAGGTTGTACAGATTTCATCATCTTGATCTCTTAAATAGGTTCGATTATTAAATGCAAGATTAGTGATCTGCATTAGTGTATATTATTTATATTGGTTTAGAATAGAAAATTAATCCGTGAAGGGCTGTGAATTTCCAGTTCCTTCACATTCCATTGTAAAACTTTGTCGAAAGATTTGCCTAGAACTCTTTCCTCTGAAACGCGTTGGATAGCGCGGTCTTGGAATACGGTTCTAGTGAGGTAATAATCGCCAAGTAATGCACTTATTTAAACTGTCTAGAAAGCCATTCTGCTCTATTGTGCTCTAAGCGTTTATTCACTGCATGCTACAAATGACTCAAAATCTCTGACGTCGTCCACCGTAAATTCTGGAGCCAAACCGACTGCTGTCCTCTTCACGTGTAGCGAATAACACTGAAGAGACGGTGCAAGTACAGGCTATTACATTTCTCTTTAATGTCTACTTCAACTATTAAAGCTGAAGTACGTAAGTCACAGGCACGGTATTTACATTTGCTTGCCATAAGCACCACGTGCGCCTCCTAATTGTATCCACAAACGGCGTCGTATTTCTTCAATCCGATTATCAAATTCAAACGCTCATGAGAGTGTCCACAGATGTGCTTCCGCACGGACGATTGTGCACTTTTGTCCGATGAGATCGGATGCTATAATAGGCAAAATGAAGTTTAGGGAATTGTAGGATTAAACAAAAACTCTTCCACGATCCAATAGTCTAGCACGTTAAAGTTGTAAACCTTTGCGCGTGTGTTCCAATTCCAGCCAGGACAAGCATTTTGGCTGTTTAGAAACATTCACGGAGGCTTGTGTTCGGTCACTGATGCGATTCACAAGTAACACAGTCGTTGACCGTGAAAATATAAGGAAACTTGCGAATATTTTGTACGCGTTCAGTTGGTAACTTGACCAAGTACCTAAGTTACAAATAATACAGGAAAGTATGTGATGTAGCACCACAAGTTTCTTATTATAACTATCTCTTTGCATTGATATTGAACAAAACAATGGTAGGAAGCGATCTCTGAAGAAAATCTGAAATTACTGCAATTTATTCGTAACGAAAGCTAGACTGTCCTGTTGCAAAAATAATTCCATTGTGCGTAATACTTGAACGGTAATGTAGTAATTGACTTTGAAAGTTCTAAATATAATTTCATGTAGCAGCGCTAGCACCATTTTTTGCTTTCCGTATATTTGCTATTTAGGTGTTGCGTTATGGAACAGCAACTTTTCTCTCATTGTTTGTATGAAAAGTATGCGTGAGTATTTTTTCTGTTGATCTTTCGCAGTGTATGTGATAGTTTTGGGGAAACCATTTTGTGTTGTTTTGTTCAGCATTTTCGCTGCTGCAGCTTTTTTGTAATTTTACTCAATTTATTCAAAATAATTATCCCAATAATACATAATGTCAACATAACCAAAACAAGATTCCCATCACGAATACATCGTGGTTTTCGTTTTTGAAAACTACTTTTCGGAGTGGTAAGTGATGTGTGTTGCAGGCGGCGGCCGTGCTGCACCGGCGCCTGCTGGAGCTGGACGCGTATCTGTCGCTGGCGACGGCGTCGGGGCTGGCCGGGGCGGCGACGCCCGCGGCGGCGGCGGCGGCCGCGCGCTGGCCGCTGGTGCGTCGCGAGGCAGCCGGCGCTGCGCGAGGCGGCCGACCGCCTGCGCCGCCTGGCCGAGCTGCGCGGCGCGCTGGACCCGCGGCCGCTGGCCGCCGCCGCCGAGCTGCGCCGCGCCTCGCCGCGCGCCGCCGCGCGCGCCGACGCGCACGCGCGACGCCGCGCTGCGCGTCGCCCTCCAGGTCAGGCGACGCTTTAAACTCCTCCCTACACGGAGGGTATCACGCAGAGGAGAAAGGTTTCCTGCCCCTTTGCTCCTACTCTTCTCTTCTTCCTTCTGGGATACAATTATGCATAGCTCAAAGAAATTGAGCCTTTCATTCTGTTCACGTGCATAAATTGTTTATTTGTTTTATTTATTTATTTATTATTATTATTTTTTTTATTTTTATTTTTACCATATGCTCTTGCTTTTTCACTGATGGCATATACTTCATCAAGTTTTTCTCTTACACTATATTATCAATCTTGTAGTCTTATTCCTGTCACCTTAGGAATTTCATTTCATTGGTTTTTAGTTTTCTTTCATTTACTTGTGATAATACCTCACCCTTGCATCCATACAGCAGAATAGGAACTGCAACTGTTCTATAAAATTTCAGGAGGGTATTTGAATTTAGTTTCCTTCCAAATGTTCTTTTGAAAAGACAGTTAATTTTTATTATATAGAAATAATTGTAATGCTGCAAATAATGTAATAGTTCTTTTTTTCCCTTTCTTCTTTTCTTATATTTCTTCGATATGCTTGTCTTCTTCCATCCTTCTGCTTGTCTTTATCCACCCGGAAATGGACAGTATACCACCTTAAACCGTTCATAGGATCTTCCCCAAATGAATGGAGGAAGCCCTGCAAATTTGAAACGGATCTTTCAATTTTAGAGTGTATTTTACATGAAGACCGGATAACATTTTCAAAAATTTTTCCCCTCCTAAAATATTAGTCCTTTTTAATTAATTTTGAGCTAAATCATGAGAATTTTGTTCGGAATGTTTAGAATTAGTTATAGAACTGTATAATATGTAAGTAGTCTAAAGCATGTGACTCAGAAGTCTAAATATTGAGGTTCAAATTCATGTCAAAACAATTTCTTTTTCTCTTTTATTTAAACTTTTGAATTTTCAAAAAATTGAAGATATCCATTTTTTTTCAAACCTCTGCACTTTTTCATCAAGAGCTTTTCAACTGATAGTTGAAGTGTTGTTAGGTCCAAAATCGCATTATTATTTTATTAAGTAATTTACTTTAAGTATTTCTACTTTTTAGTAACCATTACTACTAATACAAGAAAGTATTTGCTATTGTTATTCCTACAGTTACATATTTATGAACCAACTTAAAAAATTGTTAAAAAAGTGAATAGTCCCTTGTGTAGCAGATGCTTTAAACACTAACTTTGCCTACTTCTCCATTAATCCACCCCTGCCCCCACTCACTCACCACTCAGCAGCCCTCCTCACACCTCACAAGTTACATCTCTCCTACATCTTTCTTGACTTATCTCACTATTCATCACTCAGTTAGTTCACCATCCAATCAACATAATGCATCATCAATGTCTCGTAAGTTTTTCAGCACCCTGTGTTCTGCCATCCATCTTATTCACCCAAATCTCTCCTTGAGCAGAGAATATGCAAATAAAGAAAGCATTTCAGTGTTTGTCATAGGTATAAAAAAACAATTAATATCAATCTTTTAAAATACATAATTATGTATTTTTTGCCTTTGGTTGTCTTGCATGAAGTGGGCAAGTTAAATTTAGTGTTGATATGTACTACTTTTTCTTTGCAATCTTCAAATTATTAGTTTTATACCCTATGATTTTTCCTAAACTAGAAAAAATTTTCAGAAGTCTCTTTTAAATAATATTCAGTTCAATACTGTTCAAATTTAATCATATCTTATTTTATGTGGCGAGGCTCACGCCATCAATGGTACTCTCCCACCTGACTGCGCATTTTTCAGTAATATAATTTTAATTTGCATCTCATCAAGTAATTATTAACTTTATTTTCTCCTAATATTTGTTAGTGTGTTCAGCTAGTATTATTAGATAGTTGATGTTACACTTCTAACCATTCCTCACCTTTTACATGTGCCAATCAATTTAATTATGTGTTAAAAATTAGGGCCCAAACAACAGATCTTTTCTGTCTCTACTTCTCTTGATATTCCTATCCTGCTCATCTTAAAAGTGCACCTCTTTCCTATTTATTTATCAAACATATTCATATAATAGTAAAACTTAAACAAATATTGTATTCATGTTGAGGATGGTACAAGCATGCCAAAATGTTTGGTAAATATTGCATGTCTTTTAGTAGATGATAGATAATTTAATTGGTATTTAAGATTATATCTTTTACATTTACACCTTTGAAGTCAAATATTTTATGGATATCACTGATTGCATTATAACCTATGTATCTGAAAAGTATTTGAAAAAACATGATATATTAACATTTATTCCAATTTAATTACTTGTCTTGGAAGTTATTGGAAGCAATGTCAACAAGTCACAATTAATACAAATAGATGCAGTTAGAATAACACCCTACTCACTTTCATTTATAGGACAAAACAGGTTTAATCAGCTCTCCTGTAAAAGAAGTAATTGTAACCTTGTGCTCCATTTTCCTTCTCTGATCTTATTCTGATATATTTTATCAACAATGGGGATATAATTTTTGCATTATCATAACTAAACTTCAAGCTTTTGCCTTCACAGCTTATTTTCCAAACAATTTATAAAAAAATAACAGGTTATCACAGCAAACTTGTGCTATTAGAAATCTGGGTAAAAAATACTATTAGTCCTTTTTATTATCAATGTGTTTTTCTTTTCGTGTTTCAACTTGTTTCAAGAGTTTCCTTGAAATTCATTTTTCAGGTTGCAAAGTTAAAAGAGCAGCAGAATGCAGCTTTGGAGCATGTTACACTAGGACTTGCTCTTCTGGAAGCTCAAGTTTCAAGACTTGAAGTTGCTGCTATGCCTCGTCAACCTTTAGATTAGATTTATTGGTTAACTGTTCATTTTTCTAGCTGTATTAAAACATTCATGTTTTTTCTGCTGACTATTGTTATTTATCATGCTTGGTAAAAATAACACATCAAATATTTATCTCAGACTTAATCCAAGTTGTTTGTACTAAAAAAATCATTACTAAATAATTAGAAACCTTTATGTTGAGGTATGTTGTAACTAATTGCAAAATAAATGCACATTTGCTAAAAATATGTTTGTTTCTCTGAAATTTTTTTAGTTGCCAATTTTCAGGATGATCTGGCAGTGGCATCTCAGAAAATGAAATTCATACCCACTGAACTCACAAACATGGTTTTAAAAATGTTTTATTAACTGATCTAACATTTCCTTAGTGAGGAACATTTGAAAACATAATGATAATGTATAACATTTTATATTAATTGGCAAAAGGGGAGTAAACCAAGTAATGTTCTCGACATAGAGTAATTTGAATTTTTGAATGAGAAATATGCATTCGATTGTGACAACTAATAAATACGTAGGGGAACATGGAGCAAAGTGGAGCCATTATGCTTATAGCAACAATACAGTGTATGTTTTGTTTTTTAAAAAAATGATACATACTTAAAAATTTGATACCTTCTACTATAACATATAGAAAGACTGTGCTACTTTCCATAAAACATGTTCGTACTTTTTTACTATGTGGAGCTACGTGGAATACTGTAAAAAAAAACATTACCAGCCCAATTTTGAACTAGTCCATGAACACAGAAGAATAACAAACCCCAATGAAACAGCCATATTCAAAAAACACTTCTCTGAAATTGCTGGTAAACTACTAAAAGCAAGAAATCCAAACACTACACCTCTACAAACATCACCTTTCTTTAAAAACTCGCTTTCTAGCATGTACATCACTGAAACATCAAAAAAGGAAATTCTTCAAATTATAAACAAAATGCAAAATAAACAATTCGCTGAGATAGACAACATTCCAGACTTCTTAATAAAAAAGATTGCTTCATATATCATCAAACCATTAACATATTTATACAACCAATCACTAACTCACGGGTCCTTCCCAAACATATTTAAAATTGCTGTAATTAAACCTACACACAAAAAAGGTAACAAACAAGATGTAATGAATTATAGGCCAATCTCACTCTTGTCAGGTTTTTCAAGAATATTAGAAAAACTGTTTTACGAAAGAATAAAAAACTACTTGATACACTGTAACATTATCACTGACACACAACATGAATTCAGAGAAAATCGTTCAACTGAAACTGCTCTATTCACCTTTGTAAATGAAATCCTCATGGCATTAGAGCAAAAAGAAATTCCTGTTGGTCTCTTTCTTGACCTGACAAAAGCCTTTGACATGATAGATCACACAATTCTATTGTCAAAATTAGAATCATATGGAATACGAGGAATTGCTTACAATTGGATAAAATCATACCAATCAGACCGAAAATAAATAGTAGTATTACCTTACCAAAAAGACAACAAAATAAATAACCATCACTCTGACCCAAGGAATGTGACATTTAGGGTCCCGCAAGGATCCACACTAGACCCGATTTTATTTCTTATGTTTGTAAATGACCTGCCATCAATAATGGAAAACAACAAAACAGTACTTTTTGCCGAAGACACTAATATAATATTCAAAGAAAGAACAAACAAATCTTTGCAAGACAATGCCAATTTAGCCATCGACAAGCTAGTTCAATGGATCCACCACTCACCACCACCATAGTGGATGAAGGGTGCTACGAGGGTTGCCTTTTATATTTCAGAATTAGAGAACAAAAGCAAATATTAATCATCGAAAATTGCTTTATTGTTTTTCAAAATATTCCTCATGAAGATCTACACACTTTTGCATGAGTTTGAACCAATTGTCGAAGCACTTTTGCCACTCTGATTGAGGTAGCTCCAAAACATGCATTCTGAATGCAGCAACCGCTTCTTCAGGTGTCGAAAAACGTTGACCTCTCAGTTTGTTTTTAACGTACGGGAATAAAAAGAAGTCATTCGGTGCCAAGTCAGGAATATACGGCGGATGACTCATTAAATCGATGTTTTGGGTGCCCAAAAATGCAGTTGTTTGAGCCGATGTGTGAGAGCTCGTATTGTCGTGGTGAAGAGTGATCCATCTTCGACGGTTAGTTTTCCTGAGTTCTTGGAAGACAGCTGGCAAAAAATTATTGTGTACCACTCGAAATTGACTGTTCTGCGTTGTTCTAGTGGTATGGTTGCGACATGTCCAGTTTTTTCGAAAAAAACAGGCGACCATCTATTTGGAACATTTGGAGCATTTCTTTCGACCAATCGACACGAGCCTTTTTTTGAGCGATTGACAAATTGTGTGGGATGCAACGCGAACAAATTTTTTTGACAGTCAAATGTTCATGCAATATTGAATGTATGCTGGTCCCACTAATCCCTACGGTTGTCTCAATCTCACGATAGCTCACATGACGATCTTGAAATATCAGTTCACGCACAGCATCAATGGTTTTCGGAACAACAACTGATTTTGGACGATCTTCGCGAAATTCGTCTTGGAGTGAACTACGACCACGATTGAATTCACCATACCATCGATAAACACTGGTCCTTGTTGGATCTTCATCGCCAAAAATTGAATTAAGTTCATCCATGCACTGTTGCTGAGTTAATCCACGTTGAAAGTTGTAAAAAATAATCGCACGAAAATGTTCACGATTTAATTCCATTTTTGGGCCAAGATGAATCTTTTAACTTACTGTAGATAACTCAAATAGCACTCGTATGTCAAAACGTTCTGAGTACGTATAACTTCAAAACATCCAACTTTACGATAGAGCTGTCAGTTGCCAGATCGCAACACCAGGGTTGCCAAATCCCGAAACATAAAAGGCAACCTTCGTATTAGAGAGCTCTTTCCCATAAAAGATCGCTGGGTGAGGCAAAGACAGAATGATTTTATGTTCAACGATGTTGATTGCTTTACGACAGACGAATTGCGGAAAGCAGTGAAGAATATGAAAACCGGGAAGGTACAAGGATTGGGTGGGATCCCCACCGAAATTTTAAAATTAGTGGTACAAGTATATCCAGAATGTCTTTTGACAGTCTATAATAGATGCCGTAAGGACGGGAAATTTTACAAGAACTGGAAGAAACAAAAGCTGGTAAAGGGCAAGAAACCGTTGGAACAGACATCGACGTATAGACCTCTGTGCCTTCTTGATACTATGGGCAAGTTACTGGTGGGGCTAATACTCTCAAGACTTGAGAAATATATAAGCTTTTCTCATAGACAATATGGATTTCAGAAAGGCTGTTCGACGACGGATGCGATTTTAGAATTAGTTCGCATTGCAGGGACAGCTAGAAATGGAACTGGTAGGAAGAAGGGATTCTGCGCACTTGTAGCAATTGATATTAGAAACGCCTTCAATTCAGCCAGGTGGAAGGATGTCATGGAAGCATTGGTTGACGGGGGAACCCTGAATTGTTAAGGATCGTCGAGGACTACCTTCATGAAAGAAAGATAATTTATAGGATAGCATCAAGATTGAAGAAAATGTGATGTATGGAGTCCCACAAGGGTCCAGACTTGGCCCCTTTCTATGGAATGTACTGTATGATGGCATATTGAGAATCAACCTTCCAAGAAATACGCAAATAATACGATACGCGGATGATACACTAATAATAAATCATAGAGACGATATTGAGGTGCTTGAACTAAGAGTGAACGAAGCCCTCTATTGAATTAAAAGATGGCTAGACAGGCGACTTCTGCAGATAGCAGTATGAAAAACTGAAGCTGTGTTAATTATCGATCGGGGGGCTTTTCGCTTTCCCGATATCCGACTGGGAGAAGAGAGAATAAATTGGAAGCGCCAAATAACATATCTAGGGGTTGAGATAGACAGTAAACTTAAGTTTGTGCCACACATAAGTGTGATGGCAGAAAAGGTAGCGAGGACAGGATCCAACTTAGCAAGAATACTACCGAATGTAGGTGGACCACGAGAAGCCAAGTGAAGGTTGATATTTGGAGTAGTTCATTCACAACTGTTGTATGCAGCACCAGTCTGGGCGAGCTCATTGGAAAACCAGGTTATGAGAAATAAGTATGCTCAAGTGCGAAGACGAATGGCCCTGAGGGTGGCGGCTGCCTACCGTACGGTGTCTACTTGCGCAGTGCTAGTATTGGCCAGTACCCCACCCATCGATCTGATAGCTATGGAAAGGAAAAGGACGTCTTACAGGAAGCTCGACAAGTAAACAAACATCTTCCTCCCAAGGAAATAAAGAAAATTAAGAGTAATGCTAGGAAAAAAACTTTTGGAAGAGTGGAAAAGAAGGTGGAATGTGGGCGCTAAAGGTAGATGGACTCACCGGATAATTAATAACATCGAGTGATGGGTCGGTCGAAAGTATCGGGAGGTGAATTATTACGTATCCCAGGCTTTTACGGGACACGGCTTTGGTAAATACCTTTTCGATTTCAAGATTAAAGAAAGTCCGACATGTAGCTTATGTCGAGAAGATATTGACGATGCAGAGAATACGCTGTTTCAGTGCAAGGCATGGAAAGGGAGATTTGTAACGTTAAGCTTCAACAAGTGGTAACTCCAGAAAACATGGTGGACATTATGTTAAGTTCGGAGAAGTGGACTGTAATAGAGAACTACTTAGTCAATATCGTGAAGGAAAAGGAGCGGAAGAGTTAAAGCACTAGCTTCCAGTCAATCTTCCACGCGAAGTAATGTCTTGCGACGGTTTCCGCGTGGAAGAAATCACGACTTAGGAGATGAAGGTTTAAGGTTTTAGTCGGTAAACTAAGAACGGGAGTTCGACAGTACTGGCTTCACCGGTCTACGTAAAGGATTTCCCCCTAATAATATAATAATAATAATAATAATAATAATAATAATAATATAATAATAATAATAATAATAATAATATTAATAATAATATATATAATAATAATAATCAATAATAATAATTAATAATAATAATAATATAATAATAATAATAAATAATAATAATAATAATACAATAATAATAATAATAATAATAATAATAATAATAATAATAATAAATAATAATAATAATAATAATAATAATATAATAATAATAATAATAATAATAATAATAATAATAATAATAATAATAAATATAATTTTACAAAAAACAATACATATCAATTCTGTTAGCAACTACATAAAATTTATCAATATTAGTTCATTCTATATTTAAAACTTGAAATGGTGAGGACGAGGATGCAAGTTTTGACCAGTGTTTTTCTTTTCTCTTCTTTCAATTTGTACACTGTAGTCCTCCTGCAGTACCTAATGCATCTAGCAAATCCAGAGAGAAATAGAATTTTCCGTTTTTGTTTTTTGTCAGGCACTCTCTTTCTACTTCATAGGGTGCGATATGCCAGTTCTTTTTTTTTTTCTTTTTTTTTTCTTTAGCTCGAAACAGTTAACATGAAACAGAAAGACTAATGATAAAGAAATTCTTATTTATTTATATTTTTTAAGCAAAATGTTGTTGTAATTTGAATACTCCTTTACACTGTAGAACATGTTAAGCAGGAAAGCTTTCAATTTACTTTTAAATGTATGAATTGTGTTTATGTCTTTAATATCATTGCCTCGTTTGTTGTAAAGTGTAATGCCCTCTGTTAGGGTACTTTTTTGATAAAGTGTAGTTTCAGAGTGGGGAACATTTAGGTTATCCTTTTGATGGGTGTTGTAGTTGTGTACATCGAAATTTAAAGTAAAAGTGTCTTTGTTTTCCACAAGAATTTTCTTTGAGAAGACCATTATTTCAAATATATACATGCATGGTAGAGGAAGAATCATTAGTTTATTGAACAAGGGTTTGCAAGACTCCAACTTATGAGTGTTGGTCATTATTCGCAATATTCTTTTTTGGATAATAAATGTGCGAGTGCTTTCAGAGGCATTTCCCCAGAATATTATTCCATATTTTAGGTGTGAGTGCACATTTGCAAAATACATTGTTCAAATTGTCTCAATGTTGGAGCTTGACCTGAGGGTGTATAGGGCAAAGCAAGATTTGGTGAGCTTGTTAAGATTTAGGATATGAACATTCCATTTTAGGTTTTCTTGAATTGTTAGACCGAGGAAGGTAGTTTCAAGAGATATCGTTACAGGGTTATTGTTTATGAGCAAATGCTGTAAGAGTTTTTCTTTAGATCGAGGATTCATGAAATTTAGAGAGACTGTCTTGCTGATATTTATGATGAGTTTGTTGTTGTGAAACCATTTTACTAGTGCTTGCAAAGTTTTGTGAGTTTCTTTTTCTAATGATTGTTGTGTTTTTGCTTTGATGATTATGTTTGTGTCATCTGCAAACAAAATTATTTTGTTATTTTGTGAAGCCAAAGGCATGTCATTTATGCATATAAGGAATAGTATCGGCCCAAGGATGCTGGACCACATAATTGCTAGACTACATAATTTATCATTTGAGGGCAGGAGTAGTATGAGGAGATTTTTGTTTTCTTTAGTGTGCAACTATTTGGCTTTTGATAAATATGATTTGATCCATTGACCTGCAATGCCTTGAATCCCTAGTACTGCTAGTTTTCTTAAAAGTATGTGATGGTCAATAATATTAAAGGCTTTTGACAAATCTAAGAAAAGGCCAACGGGAATTTCCTTCTGATTTAGTGCAACAAGTATGTCATTTAAAAAGGAGAAGATGGCTGTGACTGTGAATCTATTACTCCTGAAGCCATGTTGTGCATTGTAAGGACATTATTTGGCTTGAGAAACTGTTTGGAGTCCCATCATTGAAAAAGCCTTCCAGAAATTTTGAAAATCTGATAACAAGGGAGATAATTTCTCTAGTTCATTGGATAAACTATTGCCCTTTTTAAACATTGGTTTAATTTTTGCTGTTTTGAAATATCTGGAATATGCCTGTTTTTAGACAGTAATTGCAGATGCGAGAGAGTGGTTGCACATACAAAGGAGCACCTGTGTTAACAAGAAAATCTGTCCATGCATACTGAGAATTTATCTCTCAATTTGTTCAATGATTTTAAAAATGTTAGAGAGGGTTTCATATAAAAAATATGGAATTTACAGTTTGTGTAATATTAGTGTTTGGTTGGTGTGTTTTATTGTTTACAGAATGTTGAGAGATTCACTTATTACTAATTTGTGAAAAGTGTTCATTGAATATATCAGCTATTTCTTGTGTGTCTTGTACAGTTTCGTTTTTGTAGTAGATCTCTATATTTTTTCTGTTATTATTAGTTGGTGCTGTAGTCTTTTTAATAATATCCCACATATCTTTTTTTTATTACGTGCATTCGCATAGTACTTATCATTTATCATAATTTTTGCTTGTTTGATTACTTTTTCTAGGATCGAATTATATGTTTTGTAATATGAAATGAAATTTGAGTTACCTTTGTTAGTATTTTATACATGTTGCATTTTCTTTCACATGATACGTTGATGCCAGTGGTAATCCACGATTTAGTTTTCTTATTTTGGATCTTTTTGAGTTTTTGATGAAAAATGGCATTGAAATGTCTTAAGTATATATTTATTAATGAATTAAACTTATCATTTGTATCAGTTATCTTGTATACTTCATTTCAGTTTTTGAATCTGAGTAATGTTTCCTTGGGAATAGTTACAGATTTCCTTGTAAGTTGTCTGTTCTGCGGTTTTTGTTTCTGTTTGAAGTGTTAGCTTCTGGGCAGTGTGATCACTGAATCCTGTATTAAATGTAGCAACAGAAAAACAATGGTTATTTGCATCTATTATTATTTGATCTATAGCAGTGCTACTATTTTTGTATTTTTGCGTTGGTGTATTTATGGTTGTTGGTAAATTGTATGATTTTAGTTGGTCTTTTAATAGATTTTCATTACTGGATTGTGTGAAGCAATTTATATTGAAGTCACCGCAAAGAATAATTGTATACTGTCTGCGTTTTTGAAGATTTTTAGAATAACTTCCAGATTTTTTAAAAAGATTTTCAAATTCCCAGCAGGGCTGTTATATGTACATAAGACCCATGTTTTTATTGTTATTAAGTCAGTGATAGATATTTCAAAGTCCGTTTCTTTTAAAGATGAATGTGACTGGTGTAGTGTACAAAACTAATTGTTTCTTTAATAAAAATGCATATCTAATTATATGCATGATGTGCATTGTTAATATTACGACATTAGCTAGAGAGAAACCTGGTATATATGTGTTATCTAATTGTTCTTTAGTTAGCCAGTGTTCTGTGAAGCACGATACTGAAATGTGGTTGAGTTTCTCCTTAATTAATATTTCTATATCAGTGAGTTTATTTTTCAGTGACTGTACATTTTGGTGAAGACTGTGCAAATAGTTCTTATTTTTGTGTATTGTCTGCTTCCCTGCCGATGTTAGTTGCTACAGGTTATACACAGGAGTGGGTTTTCAGTTGCAGCAGAAGTTATATGTACGGATGGGACGGGCAGTAGGAAGTGTGGAATTATGTGAAGGCGCTGGAGAGGAGAAGAAAGGTGAGGAGGTGGTTGGAAGAAGTGGAGTGGGCAGGAGAGGTGTAGGAGTAGGAACTGGCATAGGTAAAAGAGGACTGGGGGCAGGCGAGGTATGTAGAGTGGGCAGGAGAGGTGTGGGAGTACGATAAAGAACTGGTGGGGGTAAGAGAGGACTGAATGCTGGTGAAAGATGCGGAGTGTGTAAGGGGGTTGTGCATGGAGAGGCGAAAAAATGGGTAGGAGATGGATGTGGGGTGGCTGGGGCGGGGGTTCCCAGTAGGTGCGAGATGAGCATGGCTCCTAGTTTTTGTTTACCTATCAGGTTCATGTGGAGACCATGCAGAGTAAAATGTTTTCTTGAGAGGTTGTCAAGATCAACAAGTGTGATAGGTGTTCCCTCTCAAATGCTGTCTTACATGATAGTTTGCAATCTTAATTTCATGGTTTATAGGCATGTTGTAGAGAATGGTTTATGGAATGTTGTTTCATGCTTTATAGGAATGTTGTAGTATTTCATGGTTATAGTAAGCATCCTGTGTTGTGGCTGCTCTTATAAATGCTTCTTCAAAGAAAGAATTAACTTTGTGGAGAGTCACCACCTTGCCTGGGTGATTTTGAAGCCAGTTCTAAACAGTTTGTGAGTAAAAGGCACTGAGGGGCAACATAAAACTCACCTACTGTGTGCAAATATATGCAACTCACCACTGCTGACAAAGGTAAGGAGAACTTGTACATAAATTCATTTTCCCGAACTTTGTTATGAGATGTCAGATTAACAGTTCTTCCTTAGAATTAGTAGAATAGTATCTCTATTTAACATCAGGACTATGTTTTGGTTAGCCCAACTAATCACCCAGCTGCCATATTTCAGTGCCCATAATAACTTTCTGTGACTACTGATGTGAGGCTGGATTTAGAAGCTGAGGGCCCCAAACTCAAAATTATGGTGGGCTCATCTCCCAAATCATGTTGTTCAGATTTACTAAATAAAACATCAATTATTCAAAACAACTTGTCGTGCAAATTAAATTTATAGAATTGATTGTATAATTACGTATTGATTGTATATTTACATTTTATACTTAAGCACATTATTAATTACTATTATACTTATTTGATATTAATATAAAAAAATATTTTACAGATACTAACTTATTTTCTTTTTTTATAACTGTAAAATACGATCAATAGAAACATAATTGTATTAAAAATTCCTGTTTGGGTAATGATTTCAAAATTATGGTGGGCTCATCTCCCAAATCATGTTGTTCAGATTTACTAAATAAAACATCAATTATTCAAAACAACTTATCGTGCAAATTAAATTTATAGAATTGATTGTATAATTACATATTGATTGTATATTTACATTTTATATTTAAGCACATTATTAATTACTATTATACTTATTTGATATTAATATAAAAATATATTTTACAGATACTAACCTATTTTCTTTTTTTATAACTGTAAAATAGGATCAATAGAAACATAATTGTATTAAAAATTCCTGTTTGGGTAATGATGTCCGTTTCAATTTTTGAAGCATAACTGACACTTAATGAAAGATAAATTATTTGTTTTGAGAATGGTGAAATTGCATATTTAAACAATGGTTTATTAACAGTCAGACATGATTTTTGGTTGATTCATGTACTGCTGAGAACTTAGAACTAACTAAAGCTACAATGAAAGGCATTTTCTACCAATATATGGGAGTATTACCGATACTACCCTTGGTCTCATCTCAGTGTTTGTACTTTACAGGATAAGGCGGCATGTTTCTTTAGATACATCATCCCAAAGTAATCCATGGAATATACCTATTGTTCCCTACGATTAATGATGAAATCAAAAGTTTATTTTTAACATTATTAAAGGTAAATGGTGATGAATAGGAGGTGGATTTTAATGGAATGTAATTTTTTTTCATGTAAGGACAATACTATTTAGTAAACAAATTCATTTTATATTATGACAAAACGAAATGACCCATTTTTGTCATTTTTTTGCATTTTTCAATGATTTCGACTAATAAGTCAAATTGCAAATTTTTGGAAGTTACAAATTACTTATTAGACAACACATAACATTACAAAGCTTCTTTCTTTTTGTTTGTTTAGTTTAATCAGAGTTATAAATTGTAACATAGTTATTACAATATATTCATTACAAATATTGTTGTATTTGTAAATAATTAATCCTCTGATAAAAAATATATCTGATTAAAATCATGATTTAAATCAATTGAATTAAATAATTGCCACCCTACCTTGTTTAAACATCATGAAAACCATGGAATCAAGAAAATATATTTTTTGTGTTTTTGTCAAGAATTGGAATGAAAATATTTGCTTTGCTGTAGAAAAACTATTTACAGCGGTAAATCAGCTGCAAATGTTGGCTAGTGTTTCACAGCATTGACTTTCAGCTGCAGAAAATGGAAAACAATTATTAGAATATCTATATTCTCTACAGAGATTAAAAAATCTGCACAGAGAGTGAAGCTACATTTATTTTTACTACCTATTTTCCAATTTCTTTGTATTGTAATTCAATGCAAAACAGAGATTTCATTTTTAATGAGTACTGTGATAAAGTGGAATTTCAGGTCTTTGCTTCTTAAATACAAGAGCCCCTGCTGAGGAATTCTCTAGTTACAACCATCCACAGAACAGTCTTGCATCATTCAAGAGATAGCTGTTTTATGACTTGTAAAGGGGAGAATAAAAATATGTAAATTATGGAGGAAAATAACAGGAAAACTAAATATTGACTCAATTCAAGATATACATAAATGTTTAATATTTGTTCTTGGAAATCATTACCCTTTGTGAAGTAGTGTTTTCATTAACAAGAGGAATTTTGAAACATAATGTGTGTGATAAGTATGGTAAACACAATAGGAAAAGGTAACCAACGATGAAAGGGAAAATAAAAGCCATTCCTCTAACCCTTTCGCTCTCTACTTACTAATTATTCAACCCTAATCATAATTTAACTAGCCAGAGGAAATGACCATTCAACAGCATATTTAGACACTTTGCTTTTGAGTTTTAGATTTACTTCTTCTATCTTAGATATTTTTAAGTGACTTCAAAAGGAGGAGGTTGAACTCTTAAAGTGAACTATAAACTTGTTTGTTTCTTCCGCCATAACTTTCTCAAATGTACCCCAATTGAAATTTCCTTTTTCTTTCAACCTTATAATCTCTAAGTGTCACCATTCATAAAGGGGCCCAAAGGTATAATAAATAATGAAGTGATACAACACATAACCCATACAAACACCACTTTCACCTAAACCATATATATGAATTTTTTAAGAACTGATATTCTTCACTTGATCTAGCTTAATCTGAGACCCTGAAAATTGGAAAGAAATCTTTTAATTTAAGGAGTACTACTTTAAATTAAGCGAATGGAACTTTTTAAAATATTTCCCCAAAACTGTTCCACATTTTTGTTTAATTTTTGGATTGCTTGAATTAATCAAATTTATTTACAAATAAGGTAAGAGTAGGTTGTAATTAACACCTTTGAATTAAAGAAAAATATGGAATTTCAACTTTTTTTTAACCATTTTCTTATATCTCCATAATTGAAGCTAAATGCAATTAATGCAATCTATTTGTCAATATTATCACTTTTATAATTAATGTTCATGTTAAAATTGTCATTTCACAGTTTTTTCAAGTAAGTATTTTTTCCATACTTTTAAATTCAATTGTAAAGAGTTTTTCAAAAACTACTCTGCATTTTTTCATCAAATTTTTTGAATGGATACTAAGCAATTCACTGAATTATACCGATGGTCAAATTTTATAACTTTGTTCTATCAAAACTCACTTATAGATATGTTCAGTCACTAAACAATTGCCTATATCAGGTTAAAAGATTGCAGGAATATTTTTTTCAAATAAAGACACAAACAATGAGGTTATAAAATCTTTCAAGAGAACAAGGAGGGAATGAAGGTATATGACTGAAGTAGTAAGTTTTATGTTGTCCTGTAAATGGTGTCTGTGTATTCATTTAAACCTTTCAATTTTCAAAAATTATACAAAAATGCAGATGACATCTTTTCTCAGAGAAACAGACAGACATTTCGAGGAGGGAATGATACTTTTTTTTTTTTCCAGCAGGGCCTCTTCCCAAAAATGAAATATAAAAAAATAGTGTAAAACCAACTTCAAAAAAGGAAAAAACAGATTTCAAACATACATATAGTCTTTTCATTTGGCAATGACTTTATTAAAAAATTAGTACCATGTAATAATCATTATTAAATAGAAAGATGAAATGCATGTTTAAAATTATTTTTTACTTCAAAGTGTATCTTTATATTTCAAAGTCAGTTTCACTTTATTATTATTTACTGGCATTTTCACATAATTACTTTGATGAAAACATTAAAAGCTTCTAAAATAATCAAACTATGAATACTCATATATCATTTTATTTTTTTGTGTATGACACTATTCAATCTTTGAAAATGCTATCATCTTTCCCATTCATTAAGATTAAGTATTGGAGAAGAATCATGCCTTCCATCAATCAGCAGGACATCAATAATATAAATTACTGACATCTCAAATTTTGTTCTCCTTTATCTTCTTTGCAGTGTTAGTTTCTCTCTATACAAAATTCTATAAAATTAGCTACAAGTTTAAATGTTGGCAGTTTTCCCTTGCCATTTTAAGTCTACAGTGTTCAGTCTTTCTATTGGAGTTCAAATTACAGGAGATAAGTGAAACAGTGTTAAATGTTTATGTAAAATGATATCAAATTACTTTATTTTCTACCCGCCTAGACTTTTTGTTTACAAGGGTGCACACTGTAGCATTAGATTCCCGCATATTCAATGCAACTCAATAACTCAACACTTCACCAAGTCATGGCCTGAACCCCAAAGACCAAAAACTGGTCTTACTTTCAAGATTAAGGTTTGTCAATACAATTTTTTAAGATGTTTTTAGGAATACTTCTATAATAGAATCTTTGCTGCCATGACATTTGTAATAACAAAAAAGAAAATACATTGCTAATTTTGCTTTAATTACTAGGTAATTTTGCTTTAAATCACTTAAGGCACATAAATTTGTCAATGAGAAGATGAAATTCCTTAAGATTAAGATAAAATCAGTCTGTTAATCCCACATGCCCCCAAGTTCTTACCAACTTGGACCTCGAGGTTCCTTGAGGTTCTTTTGTATTGTACTTTTTTGTTTCCTTTTTGTAAATGATTAACTGAATTGTTTTTGTTTTTTGTTTTTTGCATTTAAAAAAAGTTCATGCTAAGAAGGAAGGGGATAAAAACAACCACCAATTCATTGTTGACTGTCAGTACTCTATTTCCAGATGTACCGTTTATGTACATTTATAAAACTTCAGACAAGATATATATATATATAAAAATCATTTATTTTCTCAGTAAACTTTAAAAGAAACACACATTACCAAGCTGTAGCCACAATAACTTATAATGCAAAGTAAATTGCAAGACTTTCATTTTCATATCCTATATTTCTTGCAAAGTGCACTCTGGCACCCAAAACAAAAAGCTGTTGAAGCTCAACATACAAAATTAGTAAATGTGCAGTTCACATACTTAACATTAAGTAGAACTTAAAGGACATATCTCTGAATAGAGAAAGATCCAATATAATACTTGAAAAGAAATTCTCTGGGACCAACTCTTTCCAGCTTGATAAGGCACTAATCTGAGAAAATAAACAAGCAACATCATCCCCATCACAGCATTTTCATTTTCTAGCAACAATTCACATATTTACAACGTTCAACATGACAAGCTTATTACAAAATGTAATAAACAATATGTTCGCTGATTATATAGTCAAGATCTATCAATGCTCAATTGTCAGAGATAAAACCTTTCACTAATCATTTCATATATTAGACCTCAAATTAACAATCATCTTTTTGTAACCACTTGTGATTCCCCACTTCCATAAACCAATTTGATGAAAATCAATCCTAGTAGGAAGTAAACATGGAAGAAAGTAATCTCATATATAAAAAGATTAAAATTTTGTATGAAATTTGTACATTCTTCACTGAACAACAACAATAACTTGTACAATCCTGCAAGAAATTTTACAGGAAAAGTTGTGTCAATACCAAGTTTTACGTTTTCTGACTATAACAACTTTCTCTTGACCCTGTTTCATTCAGTTCCACACAACTTTTTGATATCACCACGTAATAGTGTCCTGGTATGGTAACAGTTTATCACAGACATTCATTGTCTGAAATATGTTTACTATTTTGTGCTGTCTCGAAAGTTTGGATTGTTTGTCCTCCAGCCTCTAGCGGTGGGTCCAAATTTGTACACTAATCTTCTGCCAAGCACTGGTTGCAGAACTTGACTCTTGTAATAATACCTAAAAAAAAGGGAAACAATTAAAGTTTTGTGAGCTGAAGTCCACCAAATTTAAAATAGCTAGAAGGTTGTAAACAGCAAGTATGCATGTTGTCACTCATATTGTCCATTGTGAAACATAATATGTTGATGCTGCTTATGCGAACATGAAATGCTTACATGAATTTCAAGATTTTTTCATTTTTATGACACCTACTTTATTACTGATTCTCAGTTATCAGTACTAGCAGCCTTTCACCTTTCACCTTTCACATTACCACACACAACTATAGCCACTGGGAATAAATAAAAAGAGCCTAGTTTGATTCCTGGTTAGAGATGCTAATGATTCGAACCATGTGAATTACTTATATTGTCTTTTAGAAAGATGGTCTCATAGACCCACAATTGTTCAGCCCGAAGTGTTAATTATGCCTTGGTCATTTACACTAATAATTTTGGAATCTTAGTACAGGCTCAGTATATCTTTGATATGTTCCGGTACTATTTCTTCTTTCAAATTTCCCATAACTTCTGACTATTTACATTGTCATAGGTCTTCTTAGTCAATGAACAGTAATAATAATAATTATGTTACTGTTATTAATTGTGTTATAAATTGTTATTGTTATTATTATTATTATTATTATTATTATTACAGTTATACTTATTATTACTGTTCATAGACTAAAAAAAGGACTATGACATTGTAAATAGGCAGAAATTATGGGAAATTCTGAAAGAAGAAACAGTACCAGAACATTTAATCAAAAATATACAGAGCCTATACCTGTATACTGTAAGATTCCAAAATAGTATTTAAAAATTACCCAAACACAACAGCAGATGAAGACCAACACAGGTCTAAGACAAGGATGCACCCTGTCACCACCACTCTTTAACTTTTACTTAAACCACATGACAAAAAAATGGAAACAGAAAACTCAAGCAGGATAACAATCAGAAATTAATGACGACATTATTTGCAGATGACCAAGTTATAATAATAGATTTGGAAGACACACTACAGAAAGCAGCATTCGAATGAATCAAAGTAAGCAAAGAATACTAAATGAAAATATCAAGTCACAAACTAAAACCCTAGTCTTCTATGACAAAGAACAACTTAGAGCCAAAAAAGTAATAAAAAGACAATAATTGAACAAGTTACCACTTTTAAATATCTCGCCAATACAATTGGATTGAACCAGAAGTATATAGAAGAAAAATACAAAAATTTAATAGAAACAATGATGAGAATTCATAACACATCAAAACCAATGTTAAAGAATGGTTTAGAAATGTAGATAATGGCTATAAAGGAAACCAGAAGCAAAGAAGTAGTTCAGATAAAGTTTCTAAGTGCTGTGTAAGAGTCAGGGCAACAAGAAGGAACAAAATTCAAAATGAAACAGTTAAGAAAGAATTGAAAACAGATAACTTAGCAGAAGAAATTAAAAATTACCAAAGGAAATGGAAAAAATACATGAAAAAAATGGACAATGTTTATGATGGATTGCATTAAATTATAGATTGAATGGCAAGAGGGATAGAGGCAGAACGACAAGAAGATGGCACCAGCAGGAACACTTCACCATATGAAGGAATACTGCTTTACTACCTACTCACGGGACAGAAGCACTGCTCCTAAACCAAGGGTGTTGATGATCATGATGATAATTATTATTAGTATTATTATTTATATGATTATGATGACGCAAAACAAATATGGATAAGACATGGCAATTAACAAGTATAAAAATTGAGCAAATGTGGAATGAAAGGAAAATTCAAAGAAATGAATTTTGGTATGAGATGTGGCCTAAGTATTTTCTTAATAACAAATTAATCTCAAAGAATTCTGGAATCAGTATTTGCAATTGAATCTCTCTTTCAGAGTCGCAGATTGAACTTCAACTATTTCATGATTTTGATATTTATTAGATTACTATTTCCTTCTATTTTGAGAAAGTTACTCACTAGTTAAGAACTTACTTTTTCTTATTTTATTTCTGAAATAATATCCAATGCTTTTTGTATTGATCTAACCATCTTACTTTAACAAGTCAATTACAGATTGGAGGTAACCTCTTTCTATTTTAGAAGTCTTTTAACTTTCTATATTTCATTATTGCAATGAGTTTACTGAATTTCCTGCTGTGTTTTTGCTATTCTACCAAGCTTTTTAAAAGACTGCCACCCTAATACCCCTGATTGTCTGCCATAATACACTAAGTCTACAATTATAATATAAGTATAAATTAAGTATAACTATCCGTTAAAGATTTTAAAAAGCAACAAAGACAAATTTCACAAGTAGTACCTACTTTAAAAAGTATTCTTAAAATTTGGTCTCATATTTGTTTATCATTGGTATAAACATGAATGAAAAAAAAAACAAACAAGCTTCAATCTGCATAAGCAAACAAAGTGGAAAGAATGAAACATAATTTGATGGCTATAAAAGCTGAAAGCCAAGCTGAATAATCCATGATGTAAGGAAACACTACTTTCTTCTCAATTACAATGACTTTGCATGGGTCACCTAGAGTTGATGGGCCAAACTTATAAACTAGCTTCTTGGAAGAAATGCTGGTAGCAATTATTTACTTTATGTAATCAACAAATACTGCAGATATTCAGAAAAGTGAATGAAGAAAAATGTTCAATAATTACTCCATGTTAATTTAGTCAAGAAGTTTTGAATTTAAACCGATTCATGTAAGAGCATTCATTCATGCATTCCATTACTCAAAAATCTTCAGTCTGTATAGTTACTCAAAAAATGTTCTACAAAATTCAGGACTATTTGTTTAAAAAACACATTATATAAATTTCACTAACCTCATGGCTCGGCTAAGTTTTTCATAAGTCATCTTGGGATTCTCCTTAATTGTCCCCCAAAGTTCAGCTACTTTGTCGCTTCTGACAAACCTGAAGATTCCTTCTTCATGATTTTCCCAACAAATAAGGCTTGGACAATACTCAGGTTTTAAGAGGAGATCACGAATAAACTCCCATAATCTTCCACATTTCTTTTCTGTAAATTAATAAGTCTGTTGAAACAATATCCTACCATACATTAAGAACAACAGTATAAGTTTTCATTTTTCCACCCATGGTTTTATTTGACAACAATCAGTAGAGTTGAAAACCATCAGTGGAGAAAAAAATCAATCCATCACAAAAATATGAAAGAAAACTATATTAATATAGTGAAAATCTTAAGAAATTGCATGGTTTCCACTCATTCAAAATTATATTAACTTCTTGTTTAATGTTCATTATATTATAAACCATTTATATTATTTTTTATTTCTATTTTTCACAAATTTGAAAGAAAAACCAAAAAATTCACCTTTATTTCCTCTCTTTGTACGTGTTGGTTTAGGTGGTCTACCAACTGGCCGTCTTCCTCCAGGAGGTCCAGGAAGTTTTGCAGCAATAACTGGAGGTTTGGTTTCAAAAGGCTCATGAGAAGAAGCATCACTATCATTATAGGAATCATTATCAGCAATCACTGGAAAAAAAAAAAGAATAATAAAATCATTTAATTTTGCTGAACAGACCATAACATTTAGAAATGTAAAACTCAATAAAATATTTCCCTCTTCCTTTAGCACCTTAGAATCAAGTTAAGCTTGTTTATTATTAATAAAAGGAAAACATTTGATGAATTTGCTCTTTTCCTAGTGTTATACAGAATTTTGGTATGAAAGTTGAACACATTTTCCTTTTTTTTATTCAAAGATATATATTAAAAAATATAAAAATGTACCAGCTTACCTGAAAGTGCTGGTTTGCCAAGAGAATCACTCAGATCTGTATAGATGACTTCATCTTTTGGTCTTAGGTTATTAAAAGGTGGCACTGAAATAAATTCAAAATTTCAATAAGATAATTTACAGATCATTAATAGAAATAGATGGTGTATTTTTCTCTTCTTCTTCTTCTTTAAATATTGCAGTACTCACAATTATCATCTAGAAAGGCTGCTTCTCTGCCCATGTATCTTCGGACAGCATCATAGAGGAATTTGCCATAATGATAATCCTTCTGAGTGAATTCTTCCAAAGTCATATTTTGTAGTTTACAGCCATTCACATTACTAAATTGTGGCAACTGGATATTCTCAAAATCAACATTAGAATTTCGAGCTTCCTCACAGAACCATTGGATAACTTCTTCAGGTTCCCAATCCTTCATAGGTTTTGATGTATCTCTTCTCACTAACTCTGAAATAATAATTCATAAATTATTAACAAAATCATTATTTTGAAGAAATGAAAAAATTTCAACTCTTTCAATACTTACCACTTGCATAAGGAACAGACTTTCCAATGGCTGACAATGGTTGATGGTCAAAATCCAGAAGTTCATGTGGAGAAACATATTTGTGCTCATCCATGGGTCTTGTTAGTGTGGTTGCAGAATACACGTTGTGTTCATCCCACTCATAGAATGGGTATTGTGTGTGATATTGTGATTCCTGAAAGGATAAAATAATACTTTCAATATAACAGAGTAAACAAAAAAAAATTTCCTTTTTTGATCATTAAGAATATATCTATAAAAAATACTAACCTCTGGCCACATACCGCTATAACAGCTTTGCGGCATTGTGCCTGAAAATGAAACAAAAAACAATATATTAAACAAATCATTTAAATCTAATTGCAAGTTAGAATTGGGGAAAGCAACATAAATAAAAAAAATAAACATAAAAAAATCGGTGGATGACAGTCACGTGCTAAGAAGTGATCGACAAAAAATTTATGAAATTTATTTTTTCTTGAATTTGCATTATCATTTAGCCACGAATTACACAATTCTCATAGTCAAAATTTGCACGTATCGTATAAATATTTTCTAATATTACACTCTACACGGTGCTACGAATCGCATCAGAAACAATGCTTGCAACAATATGCCATTGCAGTAGAAAGATTTACAGGCCTACCAGAGTGAAAGTTACTAACTTCGATGTCGGGGAAAAAAAAGGAACCAACGTTTGTTTTATAATATTTTAGACACTTGTAAAACAAACACCTACCTGACAGCGGGAAAATGGGAGATAATGACAATCAAGCAATCTTGATGAACACCCACAGAGCCACGCAACGTACTGGTACACGTCAACAGGCAATTGTCCGCGGCCCGCAACAATAGACGCGCGCGCGCGGCAATGCGGATCGGGGAGACCCCGCGCGTCCCACACAACAATCGCGGACGAGTTTTGACAGCAGCCACCCGAGGACGAAACGCGAACAACCGACCACCTCGTGGCTCTGAGCCCCGTCGCGACTACAGCGCGCGCCCGGTCAACTCCCGCGGGCGCTCGAGTAAACCCCGCTGACGGGCCTTCCCTGCCCGCTGTCCACCAATCGCGCGACAGCGTTCGCAATTGCCATAGAAACAATGACGTCACAGCGCCAGCTTCGCCTCCGTATCGTTTGCTTTATTTTCGTGTGGGTGACCTTCATTCGCGTGCGCGAGAGAGACAGCTCTACGCCGTAGAGAGAGACGAAGGAGGAAAAACTGCCCGGAATGTTGTGATTGGCTGAGCGCGCGCGGTCACGTGAGCAGACAAGGACGGCTTCCTGGAACGTAGGCTATGACAGAAGGTAAAACAAATTGCGTAATATATACCGAAGAGTGAGACACTAAAATGTGTATAACATTTTCATCTTTCTTGACAGTCAATCCATACGAAACCATCATGTCCTTTCGAAACCCAATATTATTAGCGATTAAATAGCAATCTCCCGAAGTTAAATTTATTTCATTCGTCTACGACGTTCATCAAATACTCAAAATAAAAAACTTTATTTTTAAATAATAAAATGCCATTTTCAATTTGCTGAATGTTTGAAATTCCACAACAGCAAAAAAACCCACAAGGACTAGAATAGAATTTGCACAAAAACTTCAGCGGTTCAGCTACACACACGGAGCAATGATAAATGTGCATCCGTCGTGTGACTTGTACATTTCTCGCAATCGCACGAGGAAAACAAGGCAAGAATAGTTTCCTTCCTCAACGCACCGCCCGCTGCGGCAGGGCACGCCCTTCGCCAGCTGGGCAGGACGGCGGGCGCGGCGTCATCCCAACCCGACGTCACGGGGCTATTTAAACTGCAGTCAACGTCCGCGGTTTAATCGCGCGGAATTGGGGCGCGTTGGTCGGTGTGGGTGGGTGGGATGTGCGGGCAAGCAGAGCAGCGGGTGGAGAGGCGTGGGCCCAGGCGCCGCGCCGGGCCATACTGCCCGTCCCGCCTCCGCCAGTAGGCTAGCGTTATCGCGTCCGCGCCGCCCCCGCCGCCGCCGCTCTGTGGACTATCCTGCAATGCTGTGCGATCGCGTGGGAATCCACTCCAGTGCCGGCAGGCCCATATGGGCGAGAAGATTTTTTTCATTTTCGGAGATAAAGTAGATAACGCCCGCGGTGTAGGAGGCATCGGTGAAAAAATGCGCTTCAGGCGTGTTATTGTTGGTACGATTTAACTAATATGAAAAATGTCTGTCTGCAGAAGCTGATGAAGTTTTACAGGTTTTTACTTAATTTTGCTCTAGATTGAAGGTAAATCATTCTCGATCAACGGGCATTTTGGGCATTTGGAGTTCAGGTAGACCAATTGTAAATGAACAAATGAGCATCCATAAGCCGACAAGCAACAAGAAACGTTTTGAATGGCGTTCTATTTACAAAGTCTATTCGCAATAAACATTACAACAAAAATTCCATTACCTTTCTTCCATACGGTTTATTTTGAGAGCAATTTCTACTTACATCTAAATGTCCCCTGTTCCTAAATCTCTTATTCTTGGGACATCTTTATTGCGCTTAGCTACATCCTACGAACTATCGAGATTTCCCCTCTCGCTCAAGAATAATGAACTAATGAATTATATCATGTGTAATTGAAATGGGGAAATTTCCTCAAAATAATGTTTGAATAACACCATCATCGAATACATTCTGAAATGCCGAAACTCGTGGTTCATTTCCTCGGAATTATTTCCGTCGCCTCGTGGAGTGCATTCGTGGGCTGTCATTGCAGGCTGCTCCTCTTTTTGGAGCAAGTGCACCCGCCTGGAAAGCGTCGAAAGCAGCCACGGAGGCGGCGGCTTCAACGGAGAATGCCGTACGGCAGAGGAAGATTCCCTGAGATTCTGCCACGCAAACCTACCTACCGATTATGCCGCTTCGCCCAAAAGTTGACCCCCGCCTTTGCTATCCAACTTTAGATGTTTAGGTGTATTTCAAAAACCAACTAAGAAATCTATTAGCTAGGGGCACGCTAATGTATGTCATCTAGGCCACAAATTCATTCGATAAATATAAAGTAGGTTGCGCATACGTTGACGTTTTCGTGAAATTCCCTTCACGAGAGTGTTGAAAATTTCGTTTGCTTTTACAACGCATTACTGCAAGATCACCAATTAAATTAAGAAAAAAATACATTAAGAAGAGTTAGAGCTAGGTGCATACTTAGGGGCATACGAGATAAATATTTTTATGATTTAAACTTCACAATTTAGAACTGCTTTTACAAATTTCAAAAACGCAACATTTTGAGTTGGTGAATTTGAAGTAAAAAGGTGAAAACTTCTCGAACGAAATGCTTTGAAATTAAGTGAATTTGTATGTGGCTACAAACAGTTGTAATAGCGGATATTATTCATAATTAAATCCAAAATTGCAAGGCCACTGAAATGGCTGCCGTTCTTTTGCCGACTGTCGTACACTTGCAGGCTAATGATCAATTCCACTTCGACGCGCAGGGTGCTTTTGTGAACCGTGGAAAGCAGCGCGTAAAGCTCTCAGCTGACATCCGGAAAGAGAGGGCAGGGAAAAGGACGATTTCTATTCATTTGTTTATTTACTTATTGGGCTTTTAGGGCTCTGCAACTGCTGAGCTCATTGAGGCCCATGAGTGATTGTCTAATGAATAGATGATAACGATAATGATGATGAGGTGAATGATGAAAAAATGGTGGAATGGGATTCAGTGGAAATTTAAGATCCCTACGGAAATCTGTCCCCGAGAAAAGCTTTTGTCGTTCACTACCAATTCTGCATGGATTGGCAGAGAATCGAACCCAAGCCCCGACAGTGGAAAGCGCATGCGCCAGCCATGACGCCACGAGTTCCCCTCCCCGAACGAACGTGAAAGAATGGAGGAAGAAGGAAAATACGGAAGCAGTGCGAATCGCATGTTCACAGTTCGTTGTGTTCACGAAGAAATGGCCCGCCTTAGGACTTGCTGTACAATAAATTCAATCGCCCAACATAATGGCAGCGAAAGGTTTCCATTTAAAACCTAAAATGCCGCATTAACAAGAAAAAAAGCAAATGTGATAATTAAAAGTCCATTTAAGAAGTATGCAAAAAATCATTAAAATGTATAACGTTACGGTGTAATTTTTTACAAAACATCCTTGCAATTCGCATTTATTTAGTACACATTACAACTTTATTTGGAGAAACAAATATCATTTTTTGTTATATATTATGAAACTAATTCCAGAAAATTGTGGTTTCATTTGAAATGTCTAGAGATAAAGAATTAAATAAGCAATTGTATTGTCACGAAGTTCCACTTTTGCGTAGTTTCGAGCAATATTTATTAGAAGAAACCGTAATTATAAAAAGTCCTGAACATTTCTCAAAACTGAAAATTTGTTCAATATGATCATGAAAATGCTGGTGTGAAACAATAAGATAGTTCTTAGAAGGCTCTTTTGCAGAGGAGAAAATTATTTTCTAATACTGAATAGAAAATCACCTTCATTTCATCTTCACTTACAGCATGAAATATAATTTAGATTGAAGTGAAAATTAAAATGATCTCTGAACATTCAAATGTGAATTCGAGGGTTCGAGTGTAAAAGATAACTCACACGGAGACACTTATGAGATTGTTATTAGAAATTTTTAGTGTAAACAGATTTAAGTTACATAAAATATAAAGGGACAGGGTATAAAAACGGCAACAACCGGGACGTTTCTATGAGGTGTAAATTGAACTAATCCTGAATCACACTGCGTATATAACAACTGACAGGAGTAAAAAACATTATCACGAAAACTGGGGGTTATATTTTACGACCGAGCTCTTCAATGTCTCCCAAACCCCATCTATAGCACTTGACGTAAAATAGCTGTTTCGGTTTCATCCAATCGGGAGCTTATATGTCGCTACAGTGACGCCACTATGGGGTTCAAGCTCCCGATTGGATGAAATCGTTAACAGCTGATTTACGTCAAGTACACGATTAAATAAAAATCCTCGCATGTGTCAATGGAACAGCATTTAGTAAATTGAGAACATACGTATACAATGCGACTTGTCCCAGAGTTTGATGGACTGTGCTGTGGTGACGTCAGGGATCTCTGAGGTGCGGAGCGGGACCCTGTAGGAGGTCGGCCCTCCGACCCGTGCCGCCCCGCCATGCCACGCCACGCCACGCCACGCCACGCCACGCCACGCATTCCCTCGAGACAACACCATTCGCCACGGACGAGTTGCCTCAAGCAGAGGCGTCCACTTTGCACTTGTGAGTGGGCTAAAGGGGGCCGATTTTAGACCAAATAGGGGAGAAATATGTGACGAAACAACTGAATTAGCGGTTTGGGTTTTATTACAGGCTAATTAGGCGGGTTTAGAGATCTTAAACGAAATGTTTGAGAAATGTAAGACAAAAGGTGTTTTCAAATATTTCGTCTGTATTCTGTAATTAATATAATTTAATAATTGAAAAATATTTGTAATTTAATTTCATTCCATATCGGTTATATATCATGCGTGAAGGTTTCCTTTGACTAGCGTCTCGTGAAGACCGTTGTAACCAACTTCCCTCTGCGCTCAAGCTCAGCAAGAAAAGGCGAACTAAAGCTTTTGAAAAGCAAAATAATGGGGGGGGGGACTTGCCATTTTCTAATAGAGCTGATTTTAACATCGAATTTACAAAGACCCAAGCTTCCTTGAATGAGAAGAAGTTGTGAATGAGAAGTGAATCAGTTTGCTCACCAAGCAGATTCACGGAAAATTTAGAATTTTGTTTTATTTCTCGTTACAATTAACTCGGTCTGTAAATATTTCAAAGTGAAACTGACTTGTGATTAAATCACTCAAGTAATCACATAATAAGTACTTATAAAAACAGAGTTAACACACAATAATGAATCTATTATGAAGTAAATACTGTTATGCCTTTGGTTATATTGAAAAGACAAACATCCAAATAGATGTGCCTGTCAGTTTGAATTTATTAAATGAAGTTAAGATGTTCCACATTACTGTTCCAAATAATAACAAAAGTGACAGTAAACATTTTATGCTCTTTTGGGGACCTCTTTCAAAGACATTACAGAAACAATGCATACCATTTTTCACCGCCCACATTCCGTACTATTCCGATAAGTATTCTTTAAAATTATTATACCAATTCGTCTAAAATTCCATAAACACGAAAATTACGTCAGGAGTTATCAACAGGGCCACCTGCGCCAAGTGAAAGCATGTCGGGGCAAGCCTGTACCACAGAGAAACGAATTCTTTTCTTCGCTTCATGCGTCGTGTACCAACTACTCCAAATGAGTGTGATGTCTAGACTTCTCTCTCCTGGCTAATTTACAAACGGTTAGACGAGATCAAGATCGTGTTAATAAATTAGGAAACTCCCCATTTTTTAAAAAAGAATAAGCAAACCATTATTTTTAGGATGATATTTAGTTTTTGATATCACATCAAATTTATTCAGCATTCCTACATTGAATAATATTAATATCAGACAAATTAACTCATAATTGAATACCTTCAAAAGGAAGCATTGTTCAAGAGATGTTCTTTTGGCACAAACAGCGTATAAGACAATATCGTCAATATTATAACAACGAACTGGCCGATAGGTTGTAGTAAGTATATTCTTGAAAAATGTATTATTTTAATTCGAACTCAATATTTTGGTTTTACCTTGGACCAGGAAGACTATTTCACTGTTATTCCAAAATTCTAGTGTCCGTGAAAATGTCATAGGAATAAAGAATGTCAGGTGATATTATTTATTCGTGAAAAAGTTTTGAAAAAACATACATGTGTCATATTTGAAATGAGCCAATTGATGCGCGATTCTTTGATTATACTTTCTTCACAACCGCAGCAAGCAATTTAGTTTCCATAAACAAGTATATTTTTATTTGTTACACTAAAACAATTTAGTATTTCTTAAGAATCATCACAAATAAAATATGTATACGTAATCATATTTCTTTCAATACAGAGGGAATAGGTAGCGGTAAGAAAACTATAGGAGCAGAAAGTGTAATTAGGCCTAAAATGAATCGCCTCGTTACCTTGTCATTTTTAAAGACTGCAGTTGAAAAATAAAATATTCGTCAAAACCAGACAAGTTTCATCATAAAAAACATTTCTTTCAAGAAATTATACTTTAAAAAATTGAATATTTTTTTGATGCTCCTTTAAAATACTTACAGGAAACTTATTTTCACTTTTTGATACGTGATTTATTAATTAATTAGGCTTTGTTTATATTTTAATTAAAAGTAATATTGGATAGCACAAAAATATATTATGTTTAGTTTATGTTTTCACTATTACTTTTTTATTTTTTTGTAATGAACTAAACCATGCAGTCTAGTAGCAGAACAGAGCGTATTGCTGAAGTTCTTTGTTTTAAGTGAATATTATTTTAAGATATAGCTGTAATAGGTAATTAAGGCGATTTGTAAATTTAGTTTTTTTCAGGTAATTGAGTTGCAATTCTTTTCAAAACTCAAGTCTTACTTCTATTCTGTAAATAAACGAAATATTATTCTAAAGTTATGAAGAACTTACGGAAGACCTATTATCATCCCATCAGGAATTAAAAAAGGAATTTATTATCTAACGAAAAAACACAATTAATTCATTTCCATAATTTATTAAGACGTTTGAACTATAGAAAACCAAGGAATTTATCAGTACTAGTATATATTGTTAATTCAGCATAACTAATTCAAAGTATTGCATAGCGAAGTTTTACAAGCAAATAAGAAAACAATGGCCAATCGAATATTTTCGCAAACCTTTTAATTTGAACGTTTCTTTCTCTTGATAATCATCTACAGCTATACTTTTATAAGGTACCAGGAAAATTGTTGGATATGGGTAGAAATAGCAATTTCAATTTATGAAAGTGCTTAGTGGACATGTTTGAATTAGTTTAAATAAACAGTTTTGACTTTCGAATGTAATGTAATGATTCAATAATCCAGATCCATTTCAGAACAATGGAATGCGATTATGTCCAAATTATATAAAACAGCAATTATTATTATTATATATAAAATAAGGTGCACAAAAAGGAGATTCAGTTTGAAATTGCAGCGAGCAGACACTTCTGGGAACGGCGGGGCGGCGTTCAGAGCGACACCCTTATAGTCGTAGGCGCCAGTCATCCCGCTGCCCAGCTGGCCGTCCGGCGCCCCCGGCCCGCCGGCGGCCGCCGCTGCCGCTGCCGCTGCCGCCTCGTTGGCGCGAGGAAGCTTGGCTTCCGGATAGGCCGACCGCCGCAGCTCCTCGCCCACTTCCGCGCCCGGCGCCCGCCCGCCAGCCCGCCCACCGACCGCAGACGCCCGCCCCGCACCGAGTAACCGCGGTCCAAATGACCAGTGGCCTCCGTACATTGCTCAGAATTTTCTTCAGTTTTTTGTTTTTATTTTAATTTTTTTAAACAAATTTTATATTTTTTAAACTATTTTTTAAGGGGGAGTGAAGATTAATTTTGGTTCTCAAATAAATAAAAACGGAGCTGAACGAGTGTATTAAACACAATGTGATACAAAATTTTATTCTTGCTGACTTGATTCTATTTTTCTCCAGATTTTTTTATTGTATCTTGCAAGCCACCATTTGTCCATAAACATGTAGCATCAGTGTTATGTGGTACAACATTTCCCTTCAATAGTGTTTGCACGCAGTATGTGCCATTTCAAAATTCAGCACCCATCGATATACGGCACGGGTCACTTCACCTACTAACGTACCGCTTGATACGAGTGAATCAATCGTTACATAACGAGAGCATTGTGCACTACAGATCTGCTACATAGAACGTTAGAATGAAGCTTGTCTCGTATCTCATGTTGGCAGAGACTATTTTCGGGGAATAACTAAAAATACTTTCAATGACAATTGCGGCTTAACGTTCAACGCCATCTTCATCTAAGCCCTTTCCTTCACGAGGAATGCCTTTCTAATGCTGTCACTCCCTCCCCCGCTGCCAACCCCACCCTCTTCCCTGGAACCATGGGCGACGTCAGCAGAAAGAGCGAGGTTGTGGCCACTGTGGAATTTGAGTGGTGACGTGGCCGAAGACTACCCCTCTGAGATACCTGAACATGAAACCTAGACCTTTCCAGAAGAATAACCGCCGTACAAATTCCTGACTACTGAAGTTGGACATTTATTTTATCCACCATGCAAATTAAAGTCATGGCTATTATCCACTCCATACAGAAGCGTTTCTACGGCATGGCAGACATGACACGAGGCATGGGCGCTATTTAACCCACTAAAACTAATAACAAAAACCCTTATTTGAAGTATACTGACAGGAGCGCAAATTCTATACCTGCTATAGGCTCCTGAATACCCAGATACGCAGATCTTTATTCCATATATTGTAATCGCGCCATGTTGCACGTAAAATATTGAAAGTTTTGAACTATTGCGAAGTATATTGCACAGAGCAAGATTTACCAAGAACGTGGGACATATACTGGATTTCTATTAATTACATACGTAACTGACTTTTGGTTGATATACTGCGGTAACATCTAAATGATTTATTTCCTTCTAAAACATAACCATATTCAAACGATACTTTATGAAAGAGTTTAGAAGTCCAGTACGAACTTGTGAAAAATGCTACACCGTTTCCCCCCATATATTTTTAGTAATAACGATCGAGTAACGTAATTTCTATTAGCTAATTTACGAGAAAATAAGGTCTTCCAAACAAAAAATATCAGATACTACTCTATTAATCTATTAAAACTTCTATTTAAATTACCGACTGGAGTAAATGCCTACTGACACCATTCATTTGACCCAAGTTCCAATTATCATTTCTCATTGGTCATTGGCATTAGTGGCCCAATTTCCGCAATTCGAATAGTGCGCGTCGACGGCTCGCTGTCGCGACGCTGCTCCAACGAGAGGAGAAAGAAGGAAGTAATGCTGGAAATTCTTTTTCTGTAAAAAAACACTTCTCCATCTCCAAATGCGTTCGCATTTTTTTTCGTTGAAGAGGTCCCGAAAAGATTCTTCAGAGCATGTAACAGGCTAGTTTCGACTACAAAATATGTTAAGAATTAAAACTATAAAATACAACCACCCTAGTAAAAGTGGAACTTCTTCCATTGAGAAAGTATGCGAGTAGTGAATTCATATTTTATTTTTAGAAATATAAAATACAGAGATCTAACTACGATAATTAACTATTTTAACCAAAATGTAATCTCTCAGGATAGAAAGATCATAACCGGCGGACTATATTTTTTCTTCCATGAGTTGAAATAATATAAGATAAGGGCTAGGCGATGAGAGATACAATTTATAATTTAAAAATCAATCCTCTTTCCGTAACAATTTTGAAGAAACATTTTTTTAAATCCCACGTGGACTTCGGCGCATTGCCTCGCGGCTGCAATTAAACGAAAGGGCGGATTTTTCGTGAGAGGGCTGTCGCACGAAAGGTGCCCAATGTACAAGTCAGGCCCCGGCTCTCCCCTAAACGCCCTCCGAAGGCTCCGAGAAAGTGGGGCGACGTGTTTGGAATTCGACGCAGTGCCAGGAGGCTCTCCTCGGGCTCCGCCGAGGGGTTGGGGGCAAAGAGGGGTGGGAGTGGGAGTGGAAGAGGAGGAGGGAGGGGGAGGGTCCGCACTGCACTGCGACGGCTCTGCCCCTCCCCTCCCCGCCCCGCCCTACCCCTCCTTGCCATGACCCACGTAGCTTGACGGTACGTCGAAAGCTTGTTTATGTTACGGTTGTCGGCGGCGTGTCCATTATGTCCGAGCGTTCGTCTCGAAACTCGTAACAAATAGGCCTTCCACGGAATATTACATTCAGCATTATGACAAAACCGAATACGCATTAATGTTTATGAAATAATTTCCTCAAGGGTTTTCACCCACACGTGAACGTTTAAGCGAGGGCCAACGCTGTTTTCAGAGATAATGATAGGTGGCTCGGGACAAATAGAAAATTATAATGGGTCTCCTTTAAAAAAAATCTAAGTACACAAGAACAAAACGAAGCGACGAGATTACTTCCAATAAATCTTCATAATTCTAGAAAAATAAAATAATTTATTCCATACTCTAATTCTCAAGGGATTATTACATTTATTACTTTAACACTGGTTGGTACAGAAAAAGTTCGTCAAAAAATTTTTAATTTTCAGTAAGTCAATTACAGTTTTTAGGAGAGAATGATGCCAAATTAATATTTTAGCGGAACTTCTGTGATATCTACAATTAGCTAAAAATGTTATAATTATCAATTGAAATTTCTTCGAAATTTGACGAAGTAAAGTAATATACAATTTTGAATATTTCATTATAAATGGTAGAAGTCAACTTCGCCATTCCACTTTTTCCCCCTTTTTCTCTTTTCTAATTGATAGTTTGAAGTTAACGAGGGTCTACATTCTTTTATGACATCGCTTACGTGTACAATGTGATATACCACTTCCCGCAGAATATGTGACATGCCAGTTCACGTCGTGCAAACTGTTTCCGCATTTTCATGTTAGACATTTACTGAACTCTTCTATAAATAATTAATGAATACGTTTTACGGAGACAATCGCATCCTAATTCGCTAGTTCTAGGCGAATCCACTACCTCTTTTGGACAACTAGTTTGAGGAAAGAAGGTCAGAGACTAAAGTTTTTAATCAGCAAGTTCATTTTCGCGTGAGGAGAGACCTTCATCTAGCCTCATCCACAAAACTATTATTTATTTAAAATTTTAGGATACTCCCCACTCCGCCGATATTTAATTGTCCCCAATTCAGTTTTTACCACGTCACACGCAAACCATCTTTTTTAATGAATTTCAAAACATTTCTTAATGACAACAGATAATGTACTTCTTAAAGTAGCATGTTTTAATTTAAGAGACCAATGATCACTTTTTATTCGATCACAAATCTCGTGTAACGGAACTTCCTGGGTAGCCATCGGTCGCCTGCCCGCTTCTTTTCTGCGTCACGGATTTACAACGCGTCTTTCTTTCCCGCAGCAAACAGGTTGCGTAAAGGAGGTGAACCACCCCCCCAGTGTAATGGCGGCCGATTAAAGCCCCTAGGCGGGGGGAGCGGAGGCCACGTGGCCGGAGACTCACGTGGACCTGGAGGCGGGCCGGCACGCTGGGTCAGCTGACACGCGCCGTAGGCGAGCGACCAACCTCGGACCTTCCGCGTTCGGATCCCCCACCTACCCCTGCCAGCGCCAGCGCCCGCGCCCGCGCCCTCGCCGCCCCGTGGCAACGGGGCATGGTGACGCCGCGCAGAGCCGTCGCACCCCCCCCCCGCCGACAAATTTACCCCGTTTACTCCCCCGGGGCCGGACGGCCGCCCACACGAACACTCGGCCGATTTTACTATCATCTCGCCTATTACTCAGCAATCGTAGTAAACTTCCCAATGAGACTAGAGTAGGCGTTCCGACATTGTCAGACACCGAGCTTGTTACTAATCTTTCCATGTGATCAATTTTGATGTAAAATACGAAATTGCACAATTTTTTAAGACAAAAAAATATAATCGTATGTTCATTACGTAATTAATTACATTACAACAAAATATTAACATTTAACTGCATAACTAATACACGAGTTCACATTCAGACCTCACAGTTCATACTTCAAACAATATTTTAAACTATAGACCTTTCTTCATAACATTTTTTGCCCAATCGGCGAGTTTCTCAAAAATATTTGAAAATTCGTTTCCGAATTTAAAAGTATAAAAAGTATGTCGAAACAACATTGCACGGCCATGATGAAAATAAGGTTTTAGTGCGTATGTTAAAATGACATTTTTAAAGTAGTGAAATGCAGCGTTACACAATTAAAGCGAAGAGCGATAATCAACTTGATTAAAAACATCCTAGTTTGGTCGCTTCGTGTCCTCTTTGCGGGTACACCGAATGTTGAGGCCTTTTACGGAGTCAAGTCTCGTTGTAACCTACGCAGGCTGGCGCAAGATTACGAGCTTCTACATATTCTATTGACTCGTTACTAGTTTTCCTTTACTCAACTTTCTCAAAATACTAATTGTCACAATTATCTCAATACTACGTCAATGCAAAATGCTTCAACAGAAACGCTCAAGAAATTGAATTTCAAGTTCAAACCTTGTACGATAATAGACGCGGTATTCAAACGTAAGAGCATAGTAAGTGGAATAAATTGTCGAAAACTTCAAGCTGTCCCCCATGTCTCGGCATCCAGGATATTGACACTAAATTAGAAGACGATAGTTAGCAGTTTCGTTTCAGAGAAATAATACTACTATATGCAAAGAGCTTCCTTTCATTACATATGTAGATGTAAAAACGACATTAAATTGCGTCAGCGAAATACTAAAAGAATTGTAAGGCAATGCAACCGCGAGAAATGTTAATGTCGACTTGCAATGAAAATAATTCTCGGTCATTGGCTCAGTTCTGAACGCCTCTCACGCTCCGCAAGGGCCGTATCGATGGAGAAACAAACTGACATTGTTTACAGACGATAACTCGAATCAGCCAGCAAGCTGTCACTGGAGGCTAAAGATTTCATTGGGAGCAAACCACCATCGTATACACTTTGTACAATGTTACACGATTGCACAAATTACGATTATAATAAACGATATTTTCTACATTCAATTATTTATAAAAATCTTAAAATAAATTAGACGCAATTTTTGGTTTTGAGCATGTACTACGAAATAAGAATGAAGCAAAAGAAGGTTTGAATAATGTCTTCAATTTACACAATTACGCTTAAAACTTTATAGCCATATCAATAAATGCATTGCTTTCATTAATCCACCAGCCCCTCTCGGTATTGGCTCAGATATACCGCAACACGTGTTCGGAAGCGACCGCGCTCGCGTACTTCGCAAGCCCCAGCTCCCGCAGCCAAACACAACGCGCCTGTCGTCCACCGATCGATCAAGAGGCACAGCAGAGCACAAGAGGGCGGGGTGGGGGATCCCGCCGGGAGTCGAACACGCGAGCGCGCGACCACTTACTGTCCACGTACGCTCCGGGCGCTGTCAGGAACATCCTGGCCGCTGGTGTCACTTCACACACGCACGAGCGCGCGCGCGCGGGCAGCGCAGACAACAACAAAGTCGTACAGCGGCACCTCGCACACAGCACAGCACCGCAACGCACACAGCACAGCACTGCACCACGAAAGAGTCCCGAGTAGCGAGCTGCGCGCACTATCTATCCACGCACTGTCCCGTCGCCGCCGCACTGCACTGCTAGGCTCGACTCGACTCGACTCGCCGCCGCGCACAGCACGTGTCGCTCCGCGTCTGAGCGTTCGCGGCGCCGTCGGACAACAAGCGCGCGCCGCCCGCCGCCTCGTCATATAACCCGCGCGCACTCGCCGCGCCGGCGGCCGATCCCGCTCTGGAGAGGGGTTCCCCGAAATCCGCGGGCGGCGTCGCCATTGGGCGGCGCGCTCGCCAATCGCAGCGCGGGACTATTCGCGCGCAGTTTTTTTCCCCCCTTGCGTGCGCGCTAAGGTCACGGCGCGCGGCGCAGGGCTCGTGCGAGAGACGCACGCGAGACGCCGTGCGTGGAGGGCTTCGCGCCCGCGGCTTCCGCGGCAGAGCAGATCGCTAGCGATATGAGTTTATCGATGTTTGCAAAGCGTAAGAGAGTTTGTGCACGCTATAGCGGACAGCACTATCGATCTTCTGCGCATGCGCTGATGCACTGAAGTGATGCGAAACTTAAATTGCATTTGCGCAGAAGATCAATAGTGCTTTTAAGTTGGAGGGTGCACAAATTCCCTATAGATGGTTCTTACATCGATATATTAAAGCTGATGCTTTTTTTAACATCGATGTTGTGAGCTCGATGTTTATCGTTTTCGATGTTTTTATCATGATTGAAAAAATTCCATAATCACAAATGTACAAAAGTTAAAACATGAAATAATAACTGATGCCATTGTCATCTCATGTGTAAGAAGGAACGAGTGCTCTTCGAACTCCATCGAGCGTCCATTGTTCTTATTATTAAAAAAAATGTTTCCTATTAAATCTTGATTATAAATTAAAAACACTGTCACTGTGAAATTAAAGAGGGGAGAGGTAGGCCTGAACTCTTCGGAGGGCTGATTCGAATCTGAACAGGAAACTATGATTTGTGACAATTCCGCAGGAAATAATAATTACAGAAAAATTAGTGAAAACCATTTCAACCAATTCCAATCGTAAATACTATAATACTATTAATAAAGATAACCTGGAAGTGTCTGTGCGTGATTTTCGTATTTTCAACAAATAATTTTTCACATCTCTTATTGGATTTGTGGAGCGTATGAACCATCAAATCAATTGTCTATAGACGCTTATGACTATTATAAAAGCCTCTGTTTAACCCGGCTGGCCGAAGTGGTTAAATATCGGTTTTGGACTCTGCGTTTCAGAGGGAAAGGACTGGCTCGGGGGTAGTTATTTTTCACAACTCTGTTGCAGCAGAAAACTATAGTTTAGTATTGTAACTTTCTTGTCCTACTTGTAAAACGTATATCATATCAAATCAATTGTTCAATATAATATTCAAATCAATATAATATTGCGGAGCGTTTAGAAACATTGTGAGAAAGAATGCACTTTGGCAGCACCACTAGTTCAAAGTTGAATAGTCATTAAAATAATAAATGAAAGCATCATAAAAATAAGGACAAATAAAAGAATTATGAATAAACGATGAACATCAATATTAACATGATGGTGAAAAGCACAAGGCAAAGTACACAAACCGTTAAGATGATAAGCCTTCCGAGTTGTCGAACACTGCCTAACACTTCATGTTCTTCCTTCCTGAACACGTTCAGAACAGTAGCATGAATGAACTTTGGACGAAGACCGTACGCCTTAGCGTCTATTTCAGAACAATACACAGGGAAAGTCCCAGCAGATTTACACCTTTCACCAAAAGGGTTGACTTTTCCCTTCTTGAGCAGCCTCCTTGTGAAGGGTGCTTGAGAATTTACAAGTAAGCTCAGCTCTTCGCGACGCAAAACTTGTCGTTTTTCATTAAAAACGTAGGCTCAAAAAAAGCTTTCCTCTCTAATCAATATTCGACTAGGCAGGAAACTCTTATAAGCGAGTCCGACATGTAGGACGAAAATGCTTACAATGTATACTTTGATTTTCAGAAGAGGTCGTGTTGTCTCCTTACATTGGGATCTCTTAACGGAGTATACTGTCAGGGGCACCCAACGAAAACCAAGGGCCTGGGGCAGTTGATACACGAGAGCCCCTCATTTCAAACAAAGAATGTTCTCCTCTCCCAATTCATAAATAGAATTCATTTTTTTCATGCAGTAGACATAACTTAGAGCGTTAAATTTGGATTAGAGAGGAAATTTGGATACATTTTTATTTCTTTTGAATGAAAAAAATAGGGCCCCAATTCAGTTGGGGTTTAGGGTAAGTAGCTCCATCTGCCCGTTTCTGGACCTTCTGTATACTACAGGCGTGCTCATAGGGGCGTGGGGGCTATGGGGACCGTGACCCCCTGAAAATTTCGAAAAGGGGCCTCGTACCCCTATATAATAAAACAAATTTTCCCGTAAATATGATCAATTCCTTGTTTTACTCTTCTTAAGCTGACAATATGGGGAATAGATACAGACTTTTGGAAGAGGTTCCCCATACAAGCTGACAATTCTGTAAATGGTTCAGCATAAAATCCATTGCATTTATTACATAAGTAATAAAAATACATAAGTAATAAAGTTATAACTTAATTCTTCTTGTAGTTTTATTTCATAGTATTTTTTTTTTCAATTTATTTCTTTTCGTTCGACCTAAGGTTTTTCGAGGGATTTCAGTTGAACATGCTGACATTTTTGGGATTTGGGCATTCCTTGACAAATTGAGGTTAAATGCTGTAGATCATTTAATTCATTCGTTTTCTTCTAGATGCTACTCAATTTTGATCTTGATTTTTTATAGGTTAAACTGTTAGGATTACCCTGTCGAGAAATAGGAGGGGAAATGGGAAAGATACGAGAAGATATTATTAGTTTAGGGAGGTTTCTGAAGCTTATCTTTGGGAAATTTATACTTTATTCGACTTAGGATGTTTGCTGTTCGACCTAGGTGGAAATTCAGAACGGGATAAGATTATGGAAGGGAACAATAGAAATTATTTGCCACTCTTTTTATATGTTCTAGCACGGTATCCATTTGGAGTTCTCTGTGAATTTGATGGTTAGGTATAAAACCATGGAGCTTTAATTGACTTTCTAAGGACTTTTTTTGGACTATTCGCATTTTTTGTATGGTGGAGGAGCAGCGTTTTCCTAATCTGGGCAGGCATAAGTCAGTGTGGGGAGGATAATAGATTTATATACAATTTGGCATTTGATATTAAGTGTTGAATGTTGGTTTATAAACGGGTATAGTTTTGATATTTTGGCATTGGATTTGTTGATTGCTGCATGAATATGCTGCATTTCCAGGAAAGTATCTTGTCTAACAATACTCCAAGATACATTATTGGCTCACTATTCCAAGGTATTTTATTGTCATCTATTTTCAGATAGGGAGTGTTTTGCGTTAAGAGTAAATATCTTAGTGTGGCATTTTGTGGATTGATTGCGATCCCCAATTTTTTGGCCATTGCATAAGGATGTTAAGAATATTCTGGACTCTATAGTATGCCAGGTTAATATCTGTACTTGCTGAAAACAGTGCGGTACCGTCAGAAAAAAGAGAAGTTTCCACATTAGAATACTTGGGTATGTCACTCACGAAGATATTAAATGAAATAGGTGAGAGAATTGAGCCCTGAGGAACTCTGGCTGTGATATTACGAGGAGTAGAAAATGAGTTAATAATTTTGATCTTACATTTTCTATCAGTGATGAAGCCTTTGAAAATATTCTGAATTTACTCAGAGACTCCAGTTGTCTTACTTTAAATAACAGAGCAGACTGCCGAACACGGTCGTACACTTGTGTAACACTCGTATTCAGAAATATCGGCTAGAGTATGTTTTTTCTCTTGAAATCTCTGTGAAATGTGCTCAGCAACTTTAACAGCTGATGTGTGCAGGAGTGATTTGATCTGAAACCAAATTGAATATCTGGCACTGCTTGCGTGTCTGTCAGGTATATTTTAAGTCTTTTTAGAAGAAGCTTCCCAAAAATATTAGAAATTAAGGGTAAGAGATTTGGTCTGTAATGTTCAGGACGTCAAGAATCTTTTCCTGGTTTACGTAAAGGAAGGACAATTGCGGTCTTCCAGGCAGTAGAGAAATAGTTAAATCGTAAGATGGCATTAAATATCGCAGAAGTCCTGCTACAGAGTTATTACTGAGATTTTTGAGAATCTTATTGCTGAATCCATCAATACTTGGTGATTTTCGTTGTTTTAAATGTTTAATGATATTGGCTGTTTCACTACTATGATCAGTTTGATTTATAAACTGCTGAAAGGAAGCGAATCTGTGATTATCAATCTATTTTTAACTACTCTGGACAATTTATTTAGTTTTGCCTTTATATCTTATCATCGAATTATTTGCCAAAAC